GGCATTGTGATGTTACATGGGGGGGGCGGCAAACTTTACTTTTGCCTAAGTCGGCAAAAATCTTGCACCGGCCCTGGCCGAGTGTCACGTGACTACCCGGCGCTCAGTCTGACACTGCACCTGCCAGACGTCCAGTGGTCTCCCTGCTATGTCAGGTAAAAGGGGGGACAAAGGTAGAAAAATAATTGGAAGGGTTTAGGGGGGCTACTAATATGGATGGGGGTAGGGGTAAGTAGAAAAATAATAGGAAAGGGTTAGGGGGGGCTACTAATAAGTATAGAGGGAGAGGGGTAGGTAGAAAATAATTGGAAGTGTTTAGGGGGGCTACTAATATGGATGGGAGGAGGGGGGAGGTAGAAAATTTATTGGAAGGGGTTAGGGGAGTACTAATATGAATGGAAGGGGTAGGGTGGGTTCTAATATGCATGGAAGGGGTTAGGTGGGTACTAATATGCATGGAAGGGGCAGGGGGGTTAATATGCGTGGAAGGGGTAGGTGGGGTTCTTTTGTGCATGGAAGGGGTAGGGGTGGTTCTAATATTCATGGAAGGGGTAGGTGGGGTTCTAATATAAATGGAAGGGGTAGTAAAATGTATGGAATGCATTTCTGACAGTGTCACTGAATGGCAGTTAGGAAATGTGGTCACCCTAAGTCAGGGGCAGTATTACACAATCTGTATATGTATAAAAAAATATAAAAAGTAATCTGCAAAGTACAAAATGTTTGTGTCATATGTCGTGCTAAAAATTAAGCTAGGAATGTGCATATTTTTTATTTTTTTAAAATAATTTTTAGAATAATGATACAGACATTTTATTTCTTACATTTGTGATGATTCTTTTTTCCTCTCTATATTCAAGGGACACTATAGTCACCAGAACCACAACAGCTAAACGTAGTAGTCCTGGTGTCTATAGCATGTCTTTGCAGGCTTTTTAATGTAAGCACAGCCATTTCGTAAAAAGGCAGTATTTACATTACTGATGTAATGACACTCAGATGGCCAGTAGAGGTGTTTCCTAGTCCAGACATGAATGCCGCCCTAGGAAGTATCTGTGCATGTGCGGCAAAGCTGCGCATAAGCACCAGAGAGCAATGACGCTTCTGAATAGAAGTGTTTTAATGCTCCCTGCTCGCACCCTCCTATTAAGTCATTTTGACGAAATAGGGGGCGCGGCATCAGGAGGATCCCGGCACTGTATCCAGGTAAGTAAAATCCCTTCCCTGTAGTGACCCTTTAAAATTATTATTTAATCATTTATATAGCGAGTGCAAATTCCGTAGCGCTGTACAATGGGATAAACAACTCCTAGTTTACGGAATAAGAATATGCTATCCCCCCCAGATTTTTTTGGGTTCCTACGCCCATGGTCACAGCCTCTCCCACAAGCCCTGTCACATCCCCCCACACACCATGTCACCTTTCCACACACTCACCCATTCACCCCCCCCCCTACACACCCGGTCACCTTCCCACACACACACCGTCACCACCACACACTATCATCCTCATACACTATCAGCATCCCCAATCACTTTCAGCCCCCACACACTGTCACCCCTTCACCCAGCTCCACTCTCATTAACCCATTTTAATCCTGTCACTCGCACCCCCTTCAAGCATACCAAATTCACCCACCCTTACTTTGCCACATTTACCCTATTATATTAATCCCCCACTACTGCTAGACTCACCGTCTCTCGAACTGTCGCACTTACCCCTTAACCCCGCAACACTCACCCTACCACATAAACCCTCCAATCCTGCCCTTCAACTGTGCCACACTCACCCTACCACATAAACCCTCCAATCCTGCCTTCAACTGTGCCACACTCACCCCAAACCCTGTCACACTCTCCCCCACAACCCTGCCACACTCACCCTGTCACATTAACCGCCCTTAATATTGTCACACTTCCTCCTCCAAATATAGCACATTCACCCCAAACCTGTGGTACACCTCCCAACTATGCCACACACACCCTGTAACATTAACCCCCCTTAATCTTGTCAACGTGCCTCCTCACAACCCCAATCATTCTCACCCCCCCTTATTTTGTCACACTCACCTTCCCAAACCTGTCTCATTTACTCCCCTTACCATGTCAAACTCACCCTGTCACATTCACCAAATGAAGACATTATTCATTCGCACACACACAGACATGAAACATAGCTGTGCCATAACACAATGCACAAAGGCAGCCCCCATAAATACAACACACCACAAGCAACTACCCCACACACAAAGGTCCCATACACATGCTCACATACATTCACACACAAGGATACTTTCTGTCAGACATACACAGGTAGACAATGTCAGACACACTCAGAAATACACACACCTGCACTTATGTAAACACGACTGCCAAGCTATGTAACCATACCCCACAATCTTGTATAAACGATTAGCATAATTGCTATTTAAATTTATTATAAATTATTTTGTTAGCAAATTATGCCATAACTTCAGTCAGAGAGCTCACAACGCAGCAGCACAGGGATCTGCAACACTGCAAGCCTCTATTCAGTGCTACAAGCCCATCCTTCAATATAACTACAGCACCTTATACACACAGACAACAAACCCTATTTATTTTCACTTTGGGTGTTAGTGGAGGCCTCATGTTTGAGTTTCGCCTAAGGCTTCACAAAGTTTAGAGCCACCACTGCATAGGGATTTGGGATAGTATGCAGGTAACTTTTTCTTTGGCTTCTGTTATAAAATAGATCATATTTATGACTCTATCTAGTAAATCAAAACTGTCGTCATTTTACTTTTTCTTGAGCTTGTTATAACAAGTTCTACACTGACAATTCACCTTGCTGCTTTCAGCTAAAAAATAAAATCTCTAATGAGACAAAGTGGGGTGTTTTTCTAAATCTCTACACACTTATTAATGCTTCATAGGCAACACATAGGCAGGGTGGAAGCACTAACATGGTTGTGTAATACAAAAGGCAAATACAAACATCCAAAATTAATACAAGGTATGCTTACTTACCTCTTCCCTGGAACTAAATAGCAGCTCAGCACACCAAAGAGATCATGTTCCGTTGACATCAGATCGGGAGAAACTCTTTACTACCCAAACAACTGGTTTTACTAGTTGGAAAAAAAAAGTAGCTACTTTTGAAACAAAAATTTTAATTGCCTTCTTGTCATTTCTTTTTCAAAACTTCTCATAAAATGTTTTTTAGTTGATCAGCAAAGGGTTAGTTTTTGTTTTTAACTCTATACCTTATTTTTTAAGATTTAAAGGGACACTCCATTGCCAAAAGAAATAAAAACACTGTTTAGTAGATTTGCCGCAAATGAAAACTTGCATGCAATTAATTATACATGTTTTTTTTATTGGTGTTACGTCTACAAACAGCTTGCATAACCTGCAGTTATCTTGTCTACTGCCTTTGTAAGCTCTCCCTTTCTTACCCCGCCAGACTTTCTCTAGCTGTCCAATAACTCCCAATGTAGCTCAATGAGAAGTCTTTTCAAGGCAGGTGCTTTGGGCAATTGCTGCATCTTGAGTTTTGCTCCACTGAGCTAACCAAACCAGCAAGTAACAGGAAACATGGTCTGCTTGAAAGCCATGGGGTGTAACTAGGTCAATTTATAAAAGCGTCAATATCTATAGAAATCTGAACTTTTGCAAAACAAAATTATATATGGTGCATTCTTCACACATAAAGTTTTTCAGCAAGTTAAAGTGCTTTAGGGGTCTGGAGTGTCCCTTTAACAGAAAATTACACAGTAATATTTTTGTGACCACAATGCAGCATTTACAAGAATTTCAATGAGGTGTGTTTTGAGTCTTTACTTTTTCCTGTGCTTTGGAGACTATTGGAAATTTCCCTCAACTAAACTGACAATAGTTCTTGCACGGTGATGAGTACTGCATTGTGATTGGCTACAAGTACCTTTAAATGGACACTATAGTCACCTGAACAACTTTAGCTTATGAAGCAGTTTTGGTGTATAGAACATGCCCCTGCAGCCTCACTGCTCAATCCTGTGCCATTTAGGAGTTAAATCCCTTTGTTTATGAACCCTAGTCACACCTCCCTGCATGTGACTTGCACAGCCTTCCATAACCACTTCCTGTAAAGAGAGCCCTATTTAGGCTTTCTTTATTGCAAGTTCTGTTTAATTAAGATTTTCTTATCCCCTGCTATGTTAATAGCTTGCTAGACCCTGCAAGAGCCTCCTGTATGTGATTAAAGTTCAATTTAGAGATTGAGATACAATTATTTAAGGTAAATTACATCTGTTTGAAAGTGAAACCAGTTTTTTTTTTCATGCAGGCTCTGTCAATCATAGCCAGGAAAGGTGTGGCTAGGGCTGCATAAACAGAAACAAAGTGATTTAACTCCTAAATGGCAGTGAATTGAGCAGTGAAATTGCAGGGGAATGATCTATACACTAAAACTGCTTTATTTAATTTAGGTGAATTCCACTTGAAGAGAGGAACGTTCTACACAGCAATAGTTACAACCATTTGGAATTTGGATATTCTTGGCATTATATATATCTCAATTCATAGCATGTGGACTGGGCCAATTATAAAATATACTTTTACATTATTAATATAATTTCAAAGAGGCAGTGACTCGATCATTGAAACAAACCTCCATTTTGTGTTTGCAGAAGCTCCGTTTTTAGAACAGTCGATAATAGTTTTCCACCCAGCAATGCAATCTATAAATTGTATGTAATATCAGTCTTTCTTTTCATTTACATCCATCTTGACCCCGACCTTGCTTTTATTATCTATAGTTATCCTGGCCACCCATATAGTTAGTAAAATATGTTTATTTATTCATTCCTGGTGCATTGCCTTATAAATAAATGCCATATATAATGGATTATTTTTTCAAATTATGGTATATGATGTTCTGATATATGGACATATTGAATATAATAATGTTTGTGTGATCTTAGGACCATGGTTTTAAATACTGAAATTCAATGACAAAACAGATTTAAAAACAAGAAAAATTCAATGGAAAGATTTTTATTCAAAATGTTTATAGGTAAATAAAGAAAATGAACAACAAATGCAGCAATTTGGGCATAAACAAAACATGGATTTTATTGATGGATTTTATTGATGGATAATTCGCCAAAACTTTCAATGTGCAGGATTGGAGAAAAGTTCCAAAACTCGTTCTTCTTTTCAAAGTTTTCCTCTTGCAATTTGTCATTGAAATGGTGTGAAAGATGTACAACTTGGTGAAGACTGGAGTTTGGTTATGCCTTCTTTACATTTAGCCTAAATGTATCTTCTATGTGTAATAGAACATAAAAAGAATAGTTGTTGGAACTTAGTTGTTAAAGCAATGCTATATTTAAGTTGCAAAAATGTATAATTTTATTGTACTTTATTGACCTGTGTTTATTTTACTTAAGAGTTTTAATGAAGAATTACTATATTTTAATTTATAAATATTAGCACTGGTAGTTAAAAAATAAATAATTCTTTAAAGTCAAAATATCACCACATGTACATAACATCATACCATTCATATCTCAGAAATGCAAAAATTAAAAAAAAAAATAGTGATACAGGGATTTAATAAACAAGTCAGCATGTTTCACATTTCAACAAAAACTAATCTTACACATACATTAAGGGGCAGAACATTCCTATCAGCAGGGCCGGATTTGAAATAAAACCACTGAGGCCGCAGGCTTGGCCGTTGGGGAGATCAAAGATGGGGCCTAGCTAATAGGCAAAATCTCATGCAGAGCTGCCCGGTGCTCAACTACAGGGGAGACTTTATTGTATCAGAACGTTGTCACAGGGTTCAGCGAAAATGCTCTGATACAATTCTTCGTCAGGATAAATAGACAAAGATATAGGGTGTGCCGGGGGACAATATGAATGGTAAAGTGGGAACAGGAAATAAAACTTATATAAAAAATATATGAAATACAGGTACCCTAAAAAAAGGCAGCTGTAACAAAATAAGGTCTAAGTAATAGAGATAAGAAAAAAGTCTCTAGGTGCCTGGATAGGTTTCCTCCTTCTTCAAACCTAGCAGTTTGGTTTTAAAACCATTCTAGGCAGCAAAGAAATGGAGTGGGTTTTTTAATTTAAAAACTTTAGTTCCCAATGGCCTTAATGCTGAGTTTGATCTTTTTATTTTTTTATAATATTTATTGGTTTTATTTTCTGTACATGTATTTATGTTTCTATTTTACTTAAATTTTATATCTGTTTTATTTCCTTTCATTTAATTTTTTTTCCTTTGTCTTTTTGTTTATGTTATGTTTATTTTATTTTATTATTTAACTTGTTATTTTTCACTCTTTTTCCCCCTTTTCTTTCTTCTACTATTATATTATTCCTAATTTTTGTAATTCAATCTTTATTTCTATTTAGATTTTAAGTATTCCCTTGCTTTCTATACTCTCTATTATTTTTTGCCTTCCTAATATGGCCACTTTTTCTCTCCTACTCCTTTCCTCTCCCAATATGGCCACCACTAGTGGTCATGTGACCCACGGCCCCCTATCATATCAGCCTGCTAGTATTTGCCCTTTTAGTTCTAATCCCACTCGTAACATTGTCCTTTGGCCGATGTGGATGTGGCTCCTCTCTATATCACATTCCCTTTCCGGGATGCCCTCTTAATATTTAGACTATTTGTAATAGTCTCTCTCTTTCTGCTACTGCTCTGGTTTTTGGCTCTGCCCCCTTTTTAGCCCATTGGCCGAACGAGATTCTGCCTTCCCCCTCTTGCCTCACTACTAGATATCCCATAGTTCCCGGGCATGTGCCGTCATAGCCGACATCGTCCGTCACCCCCCTTACATGCCCACTTCTTTCTTTTACTTCTTTTACTGTTTTCTAACATTTTAAAACTTGTTTATTATTTATTTGACTTTTATCTGACTCTACATAATCATATCATCCACCAAGTATAATCTGTTTCTCATTTTAATAATTTGTAATTTCGGTCAGTAGTATGACCACGTGACAATGACGTTATTTACCTGCCAAATTTGAAATTATTATGTTTTACACCATATAAAAGACTGTGAATGCCAAGTATATGTTTGAAAACCACTTGAGAAAGCCCTATTTGGGAGAAACATGTTGTGGATTGTTTTTATTATTTTTTTTTATTATACTAATAAAGGTTAATTGGCTATTTTATCTTGGAATTGTACCATATACATTTTTATTGCTTTTATTTCTTTTCCATCCTGTTTTATTTATCCAGTGAGAATCTCACCAAGAATTACAGGTGGGGATTATACCACCCACGTTGATTAAACTGAGCGGGCTATCTGCTCAGAAAATTGTGAGTACATTTTATCTTTTATTACTCCTGGTCTATTACCTTTATACAGAGAGCACTATTGTTGCCTTTTATTTTTGTTTCTGGATTTATATATTGCCGGCTGCTACGACATCTGCTGACTGTACCTTTCATTGATATCCTATAAGTGGGGGATCAAAACGACTGCATGCACATTACACTAGAGCTGGTCAGAGCACTATGAAATGTGAGTAGAAAATCTGGAAGTCTTTTATATAGGTGCATTTTACTTTGGACTCTTTACACTATTGGAGTTCTTTTTCTTTTCCTTTCATATATACCTGTGGACCCTGAGCATCCCGGTAACTACCAAGTTGAAGAAGGAGGAAACCTATCCAGGCACCTATTACTAATACCTTATTTTGTTACAGATGCTATTGTCTTAGGGTACCTGTATTTCATATATTTTTTTATATTATTTCCTGTTCCCACTCTACCATTCACACTGTCCCATGGTGCACCCTATATCTTTGTCTATTTTACTATTATTTAAGGGTTATTGGAGAGCATTTCCCTTTTTAGGTGTTGCTGCCTTTTATTCTGTCATATAGCTCTGCCCCAATCTCTTTCTTTTTTAATCCCTCGGCGGGACCTGGGTTGGAAACAGCAAAATCTCTCACCAGGAATCAGGTTCCACCCTCTCTGGCCCAAGATAAGATCAGGGAGAGTGGATTGTACTTAAGCAGGTCCTCAGCCACAATCCCAGTCCTCCCACTATACATGTATATTTACACATCAATTCTATACAGACACTATTTTCAATGTGTCATAACAAGGTCAATAACATGACCCAATGTAAAATGATGACAGTTTAGATTTACTATTAAGAGTCATAAATGTGATATATTTTATAACAAACCCAAATCCCAATGCACATTTAAATAATTGGAGGTTTTTTAGTATCACTCCAATGACCATTAAAGAGCAAGCTCTCCTGCCACGTCAAGGCACACCTCTTAGGCGAATCCTACACTAGGAATTCATCTTGTTTGTTAAAAGGTAAAATCATTAATCAGAGAGGGATATTTTTCTAAAACCCTGCATGCTTATTAACCCTTACCAGGGAGTGCATTCGGTTGGCAACACCACTGTAACATGGCTGCGTAATATAAAAGCAAATACAAACGTACAAAGCCCTATGCTCAAACTCACACTACTCCTGTGTGGCAGCAATGAATACAAAAGCAATACAAAAGCAAATACAAACATACAAAACAGTGTAGAACTCACCTAAGATGTTTTGTATTGGGGCTGATGTGTACTATGGCCATTGCTGCCATCCAGGAGTAGTCTGAACTAAATGTGCATTCAGAAAGATACATCGAAAAACAAGTACGCACAGTGTCACAAAGTCACTGTTGTGAAGAGAGTGGTCAACAGTGTCAAAAGCATCAAAGAGGTTGAGGATAAATAAGAGAGAGTAATGATCTTTAGATTTAGAAGAAATTGGGTTATTAATCACTGGTAAGGGCAGTTTTAGAATGTAAGGGGTATAACCCAGATTGAAGAGGGCCAAGGAGACAGTTAGCACTGAGTTACACATGTTAACACACCTCAGTCAACAGGCTAGTTTATTGACGTATTGATATGAGACAGGATTTGGATGAGAAGTAGGTTCAAGGAACTGCTAGACAATTGCATATTTGAGGGAAAAGTAGAAGATGCTAGAAGTCAAACAGAGTTTGAAAATATGCATTAGGGATGGGACCAGAGATTTGATAAGAGATTGGATGAAGTGATAGCGAATGGTATCAAGAGGACAGGAGGTAGGGCGAGAGGATGGAAGTAGTTAACAGCTCTTCTTAGAAAAGGGCGGAATGTTAGGAGTGGAAAAAGAAACAGAATACAAGCTCAGTGTTGGAGGGGAAGAAGAATGAGGGAAGATTGCATTCTAAATTTAATTAATATTGTCAGTAAATTGATAAAAAAAAAAATACATTTGGGATCACAAGAGCAGGTGCAGATGAGGGAGGTAAAATACTCTTGCTTGGCAACGGAGACGATGGAAGTCTAGGAACATTGCATGAATTTGTAATATAAGAAGTCAAGTGTGTTGAAAGATTATCTCCAGCAATATTCAGTAGTTTGGGAACATTGTTGAGATAGCAGGTGAATTTGCAGTATTAAATTTGAATGTTTGGCTGGAATGTAGAGTGAACTTTAATCAGTGTAATAGAATAGAAAGAATTGTAATATGAGTTACCTTGAGAAAGACAGGAGAAAGTCGAGAAAGGAAAATGTGGTGATTAGAGAGAGGGAGACATGATGCAGATCAAGTGATGCTTTGTGTTTATATACTGTCAGCATATTGCAATAGAGTGTTGTTGTATTACAGTTGATTGAAGTGATTATGTGAAACTCAGGACAATATACACAGTCTAACTGAATGAAGAAGTAGAGAGTCATCTTAGCAAGTGGATATTTATACAACATTTTAAATTATTTGCTAAACTAGTCTACTATTAACATTTTGTGAACAGATCAAAGTTTGTGATATAAATTAGACAAATTATTCTACTATTTATAAGGGAGCCTTACTTTCCAGCACAGTATACAATGTCTCCATTCCTGCGTGGATGTGGTCTGCCACGTGACAGTGTAGTAGCCAAGTGCCTGGAACCTTTGCTACCATCTCAACTGTTTGAAATGTCCCAGGGAAAAGATCAAACACATCAGACCGAAATGTGCCATCTTTCTAGAAGGTTAAACAAAATACTAAATTAGCAGCTAGCTCTAAACAACTGTTTGATGGGTGTATTAATGTTTATCATATAATAATATTCTGTAGAGTGTTAACTTATAAATTATCCTGTAGCTGTTTGAAATAAATGTGTACATTCTATTGACTCCTCCCATGCTTCCCACAATATTTTTCACCACTAGTTTTTACTTTATTGTGCTTATAAACAGAGTATACTAAAACTACTTTAGGCTTCATGAACATCCCTGAAAAGCCCAAAATTAAATATATATATTACATGTCAAATTTTAAACATATTACATGTAAGAATGATATTTGCTTAATTTTCTTTTTATTTTCCATGTCGGTTTAGAAAAATAAATTGTTACCTGAAAATTAAAGCTGTGTGCATGGAAGTGCACCGTGTGTAGATCCACTTCGCCTCCCATTCCGATCAGGTGCCAGTTGACATGATCTCCAACTCGCATTGTAAGACCAAGTAGGTTTGCATACATTTTTCCATTTATAGCTAGAATAAGATAATTTGTCAGTCAGGTCAAAATATTTTTGGAGAGATGTAGATCAACCAGTGGTATTCTAGTTTTTCCCGAATACACCAGGACCAGATTTTACAATTCAGAAATTTAAAAAAACAGTCAATGTTTCACATGCCCCATCACAAGTACAGCACTTGTTAAGACACCATGAGCAGAGAAATCATGGTATATACATATATGTTGATTAATTCTTTCCAATCACGTGATTTGACAAATCTATATACCTAATGCACTTGGTTCTATGTGTAAGGTGTGATAAGGACTCAGTAGAGCAGAAATGTTACCTTATACTTATACGGAATGAAACCTCTATTGCTCACACATTTGAATGAGTACATAGTCTTTCTGTGATTTTATTGTTTGAATGTTGAACAGTTGTAAAATTAATAATACAATGCTTTCCATTCATCACGTACCATGCATTTTATTACTTTCAATAAAATCTTCATCTTCTTTGTTAACCTTATCAGGAAACTTGGAATACATTTTGATATTTTCATCCAAATACCAGGATTCATTTTCATCATAAACCATAAAAAGGAGTGCAAATCTTTTAATTTTTGGCATGAATAGCTTTATTGGAAGAAGTGAGGACTTGCAAATTACAACAGGGCCAATCAATCCACTATAAGTATCCTGAGATTAAAAAAAAAATAGATAAATGTTATTTTGTAGCTTATTTGTAGCTTATTCTTTCTGAGGTTGGATACAAACAATTGATGTATAAAATTATATGTTTAAGAAAACTCCTCCCCAATCATATCAGCTGCAGACTAAATACCGGTAAACCATTTTTTATTAAAAGGGGCATTGCTAGGGTAAAAAAAATGCCAGACGCTTGAGCTAAAACAAAAGCCACATCACTGGCCGCTCCAAAACTCAATTCCTCAAAGGAACACTCCACACCCATAGAACACTCCAACTTGCTGAATAGCAATATGCATGTGGAGTATCCCTTTAAAATCCCCTTCATTGTGAAATTAGCACTTTCATATCTAAAAATACGAATGCATCCCCATCTGTCAATCAAACAGGAAGATTCACTTCCTACTTCTGTTGCCTCCACTATCCCGATCAGGGATGAATTAAACAAGAGGAATGTAGCCTACCCTGCCACAGCTAGGAAGGCTGAACTGTTCAGATTATTACGGTCTCAGACTGACCTTGAAAACCCTGGTCCCAGTCATGAATGGATAGTTCAACCCAGTTTGGCCGACCTGCACTCCTTAATCACTAATTTGACCTCCATTGCTACTAGGCTCAGGGTCTTGGAAGCTGCTACGATTGCTAGTACTTCCTCCACGGCTGCCGTTCCTCCTGTTATCCCCTTTCCGAGTGTAGGAGTGCAGAGTAATACTCTTTTGGTTTCTAACCACCCCTCCATCAGTACTATAATCACGCCAGCCCATCTAGTTTCTCTGACACTGAGAAAGGACATCTTGGAGGGATGGCAAAGATGGCAAAAATGTCAACCTGATGTCCTTACTCATAGCTTCACAGGACGCCATCGACAACAAGTCTTACTCGTTTGGTGACTTGTCAGACATTATGAAAGCACGAGACCCTAGGCTTAACAAAAAACTTTCTATCCCAGAAATTGTTTTAGCTTTTGGGTTATTTAGGGACGTAATATGTTCAGTTTTTCCCCAAAGATGTGAAGAGTTTGACTTGTACTTGCACAAGCTGGTCGAACTTGGGCATAAGTACATTGGATTTGCATTTTTTGACTATCACAAGTCATTTTCAGCAAAAGCAGCCCCCGCACTTGCCCAGTTCTGCATTAAAACTGATTGGAGTTCTCTTGATAGAGGAACTATTTTGTAGGCATTTGGCCCGTCTAAAAGTTCCAGCTTGTGCAGTCTGCTGATCTTTGACTCCCGCAACAAATCTGTGCCCCAACGACACTGAGCTCCCATCCACCAGTCAAGCCCAAGTACCCAAGTTGCCAAGCCCATACAACAGGACCTTAAAGACAAGTTGGGGAGACCCATTGTCTTTTTGGGCAAATCTCAAAAAATTTAACGCCGGCAGCTGCGGGTACAGTGCCTGCAGATTGCTGCATGTTTGCTCTCTGTGTTTCCAAGCACATGCTAAAACCATGTGCCCAAATAGATTGTTCTCTAGGCAATGACCAGTTAACGTCACCACTATACATCACTGTTTGTCACAGCACCCTTCACCTCACCTAATTAAATTTCTCACTGAAGGGTTCACACACAGGTTTAGTCACAATCCCCTCATGGACACTCAAATGTGCCAATCTCCAATCTGCCTTGAGCAACCCACAAGCCGTGTCATTACTTATCTTTAAAGAACTCGAGCTAGGCTTCATGATTGAACCTTTCACTATGCCACCCTTCTCAAGATGGAGAACCAGCCCACTAGGCATTGCTACTGCAAAGTTTTTGAATAAACTACGCTTAATAATCGATTTGTCGACTCCTCATTCTTCCTTTACACCGAGTCTAAACTCACTAATCCCTTCCGAGGATTTTTCTCTTCAGTACGCTAGAGTGGACGATGCTATCGCTACCATCCTCAATGTTGGCAGGGGAGCTTGGTTATGTAAAACTGACATTGCTAATGCCTTCAAGCTCTTAGCTATCCATCCATCCCTGTGGCATCTGCATGGGGTTAAGTAGGAAGACCAGTACTATTTTGCTACGAAGCTTACTTTTGGTGCCAAAAGTAGCCCCATGTTGTTCATGTCAGGATTACAGTATGAACCAGCACAAAGCATTGTGTAACACAGAGGACTGATAGGTAACGTATACCGGACCTTAGAATGGCCGGACTAACGTACCAAAGAATAGTCAGAAATAGCCAAGGTCAAGGGATATAGAAAGAGACACAACGATAAGGAAAAGTCAGGGGTCAGGGATGCCAGAAAACAGGGAAGTCAAAATCATTGCCAAAGTCAAATAACCAGAAAACCGAGAGTCAATAACGCGCTCTTGGACAACCACAAGGGAAACCACGACAGGGCACAGAGCAAGAGGAGAACTGGGCCTAAATACCCCACCTGTGGATCTGATTGGTTGTAACTGGCCTTTGACCCCAAAGGCAGTTACCAGGTTCCTATTTGCATGATTGCTGCTCAGCACAAACCCTCCTGTGGATTGATTGCTGCTCGGCACAACTTTTCATGTCAGGAAAGTAAATGCCATTAATCACATTTTTATGTGCAGATGAATACGTGACATTAGCCCCCACCTGAAGAACGCCCACCAGGCGGGCAGGACCAGGCTTGACAGGAAACGTGGCGTGAAAATAGTGAATCTTGTGGCCAGCATGTTTATCAGACGCCGGAACCCAATAACGATCTGCTGGTCCATAACCTTTCCAATCCACCAAGTACCTTGTGCTGGCTGCTGCTTAACTACTGCAGATGCCCCAGAGCAATTCACTACCTAGATGATTTACTGACCATTGAGGAACCTAACTCACCCCCTGTCAGTCTAGTACAGATGGGTGTACCAATCTCTGAAGTCAAGCAACCTTCCTGGTGATTGTACTCTATTCTCAATCCCTGGAAGCTAGCTTACCTGAAGAGAAAGTCTGCAGAATTCTGGAAGGTTTATCTGCTCGTTTGGATAGAGGTGTTTGCACTCGGAAAGAGCTGCAATCACTCTTAGAAACTTTGAATTTTGCCATGATGATAATTCCCCAAGGTAGATCCTTTATCTCGCGGCTATTATGCATACTTCACGGTTTTCCTGATGATGATAGCATTATTGACATAGGTGCCGAAGCAAAAGCTGACATTTCTATGTGGCAATTATTTCTGTCATCATGGAACGACAACTCTATGTTCATCCTGCCCATAACAGATAAATCCCCTGTCATTTGGACTGATGCAGCCAATACTGCAGGTTATGCTGCAATCTTTGGGAATGAGTGGGTCCAGGCACCATGGCCCCCTGAAACTAACCAATTACACAATTTCACCGACTCCTCTGCTCTGTTTGACAATTTCCCAGTGGTAGTCGCAGCCATCACTTGGGGGGTATCCTGGAGAGGTCAAGCTGTCAGGTGTTTTCTCGATAACCAGGCAGCTTGTCACATTCTCAACAAGGGTCGCTCTGAATCATTGGTTATTATGAAACTGGTGAGAAGGCTGACCTGGCTAGCACCTACTCATCAGTTTTTTATTACTTGCACGCATGTTCCCAGTGTTCAAAATGTGGCTGCTGATGCTTTATCCCGCTTCAAATTTCAGGAGTTTCTCTGGCATCACACCACAGCAAACAGACAAGCGACCAGGCCACCTCTTTTCGAATAACTAATCCTGGATTAGAAGCTCTCCTAGCGCACAGTAAAAGTTTGTCCCGAATGGGATTGTCTGTTAACACCAGGAAAACATTTGACAGAGCGTTCAGGTTATTTTCCAAATTAGTGGCAGACTTTCATATATTAAACTGCTTTTCTATTGAATCATTGGTCGCATTCGCTACCTTTAGCCAAATTTCTTTAAAATTAGCACATAACACTATCAAGTTATACCTCACAGGTATTCCACACCAAATGCTTATCACATTCCCTAATTAACCTTTTCTGTTATCTTATACCATAAAGAGTGTTCTGAAAGGTATACAGAAGTTAAACTTCTCTCAAAACTCACAACGATTCCCAATTGACAGCTCTAAATTCCGAGACATTTCGAACCGACTGGACACTGCACCTTTCGAACAACAAACCTCATTATTAAAGCAGCCATATACCTAGCTTTCTGCTGTTTCCTCAGGCCCAGAGAGGTTTACATCACAAAATTCTCAGACAACAATTACCTAAAAATACGCGACCTTGTCAAAACAAACGATTACAACATCTTGACACTAAGACAGTCCAAAACTAGTCAAATGGGTACCGCAGTAGAGATCCCGTACTATCCAACACATTCACCCTGGTGCCCGGTCAAGGTTGTAGACGTACTTACTAGTATGCTTATAGGCTCATCAAAAGATGCACTTCTACTCGAATTACACGGTAAACCAATAACAACACACAAGTTCATTCTGTACCATAGTAATCTACTAGTTAGGTTGGGGCTTAGTCCAAACTCTAACTCTGGTCATTCATTCCACATAGGAGCAGCTTCAGCTGCATCCAGTCATAATGTTCCTACTCACATAATCAAAAAAATAGGCCGCTGGAAATCAGCCATTTATTGCAGGTACATACCATGTCCAGAAAAGGAAATTAGAAATGCATTTAATACCATGGCTTTGTGAGTATCATATCTGGATTAATAAAGTATTGCTTATTTTTTGCCCTCTTTATTACAGGCCTAACCACTCATCGGTTTCGGCACACCACCACTGACTTTTAGTATTCTAATTTAACTGTTATTAGAAGCTAGCATTTATATAATTCACGATCGGCTATGGTTTCCGACCACAAATATATATATGTATATCTCAAAATCCAAATAGGTTATGGTGGGGAAAAATTGTGATTGAAAACCCCTTCTACCTGAAGTCTGTGGATAGTTAATACAATGTTAAACAAAAATCCGCACACCAGTCAAGCCATAAGACTTGCTTTTCCCACAGAAAATACAAATCTGCAATGATGTTACTGCCGCAAAGGATTCTGCTGATGATTTGCATTAACAATGAAGCAGCTGTCCACAGAGGCGGCTCTCTAATTAGGTGATTTAGGCGGCCGTCTAAGGCCTCGCGCTGATGGGGGCCTCACGGCTGCCTAAATAGCCTTAGGGCAGTGACATGTTGACACAAGAGGGGGCCCGAGGCCCCTCCTATGCCGACCCAGGAGAGAGACAGCTTGTCTGCAGCTCAGCCAAGTGCAGAGCTGCAGACTGAGGTTGTCTCGCGATCTTAGCCAATCAAAGCGTTGCTGCGGGTTACAAGGGCAACGCTCTGACTGACTGAAATCGCGAGACTAGACTTACTACGTGGTCTGCAGCTCTGCACCCGGTGGAGCTGCAAACCGTAAAGGGAGCCCACCGGACCACCAGGGAATCGGGATACTGCGTGCCCACTGGACCACCAGGGAATACATTTATTATAAAAGGTATTTGTGACCCCTGCACTGTCACAGCCCTCCTACCACCCCCAGCCATAGCCACCTTACCACCCGCTGCCCCCCTACCCTGTCACAGCCCCCTACCACTCCCACCCACATTACCACCCTCTGCCCCCCTACCCTATCACTGCCTTCCTACCACCCTCTTCCCCAGCCACCCTCTGCCCACTACCACCCCCTGCCACAGCCACCTTACCTCCCTCTGCCCACCTACCCTATCACTGCCCTCCTACCACTCTTTGCCCCAGCCACCCTCTGCCCCCTACCACCCTCTGCCACAGCCACCTTACCACCCTCTGCCCACCTACCCTGTCACTGCCCTCCTACCACCCTCTGCCCCAGCCACCCTCTGCCTCAGCCCTCCTACCTCCCACTGCCCCAGCCCCCTACCACCGCCTGCCGAAGTCACCGTGCCCTGTCACAAACCCCCTGCCACAGCCACCTTACCACCCTCTGACCCCCTACCATCCCCTACCCTGTCACTGCCCTCCAACACCCCCTACCCTGTCTCAGCCACTCTACCACCCCCTACCCTGTCACTGCCCTCCTACCCGCAGAGTAATCGCGCGGGGGGGGGGGGCATGGATCAATTTTCGCACCATGGCCCCAGCCTCACCACTGGGCATTGGAGAAGACTGATTGCCAGCCTCCTGCCATGTGACTATGGCCCCTGGGATGTATTGCCTGCTCTCCTGTACTGCTGAGGCCCCTGGGATGTATTGCCTGCTCTCCTGTACTGCTGAGGATTGCTACCAACTAGGTGGATTTGGCTATGGATCTTGTGTAGTGCCCTCTGTTGGTAGCAACAGTAATATGCACTACCTGAATAGCAAGACTGGTAATTTGCATATTTGGGTAGATTTGCATATCGCTAATTCTGCATGCAGGAGAGACATTTTGTGTTAATTATGGTCTTCCCCACCCATTTATAAATATGTAATTATGTTATAATAAGTCACTGTATGTTGCCTGCTATGATTTGACAGGAATGTTAATGTAATGACCATATGGGCTAGTCCCAAGTAAAATAAAGTTTTAGACAGTTCTACTTAGAAACATAGAAACATAGAATGTGACGGCAGATAAGAACCATTCGGCCCATCTGGTCTTCCCAATTTTCTAAATACTTTCATTAGTCCCTAGCATTATCTTATAGTTAGGATAGCCTTATGCCTATCCCACGCATGCTTAAACTCCTTTACTGTGTTAACCTCTACCACTTCAGCTGGAAGGCTATTCCATGCATCCACTACCCTCTCAGTAAAGGTATTTTACCCTTAATTTTGAGTCCTTTCTCTTATTGGGGGAATCTGCTACAAGGGATTGCTATGCTCTGCATATTCCCTTGCTATAATCACTCCTAAGCTCTTTTAAGAGCTCGTTCCTGCTTCGCTCTGAAGGAAGAGAGGTTCGGCCTGCGGTGGTTGTGGTGTTGGCTAGAGTGCTTGGAAGCGCTAGTAGCATCCATCAACGGAGTTACCCAGTCGGGGTGCCAGGTGATCCGTTACACACTGCTTACAATCCTGTTCTCCAACTGTGCAACTCTCACTCCAAACCTTGTCACACACAGGTAGACAATGCCAGATACACTCAGAAATAGGCACTGTTGTATATACGAATGCAAGGCTATGTAACCATACCCCTCAGTCGTGTATAAATGATTGGCATACTTGCTAATTAAATTTGTTTATTGCAAATTAAGTTCGTTTGCATATTATGCCATAACTACAGTTAGAGAGATCACAATGCCACGGCACAGGGAGCCGAAACACTGCAAGCCTCTGAACAATGAATACAGAGACTAGCTCTCTGTATCCAGCACTGCAAGCTTGTTCAATACAACTACAGCACCTTATGCACACAATGCAACCCCTATTATTATTATTTTTTTTTACTTTGGGAGCCTCATGTTTGAGTTTCGCCTAAGGCCTCATAAAGTCTATTGCCGCCACTGGCTGTCCATGAGTGGTTCACTAGCTTTGTATCTTTTACTAAGTTGTGTTTCAAAGCTGTGGTATACAGCAAACACAGACTCAAATGAACCCATGTTTAACATGGATTGAAGCAAAAATTAGATTGTTTGTTAAAATATTTGCATATGCCCACCCAGAATTCATTGCGGTAGTAACATCACTGCAGATTTGTGATTTCTGTGGGAAAAGCAAGTCTTATGGCTTATGGCTATTAGTACTTATTCGTCTGAAACAACTGGAAAAGGTTTTTTTTTTTTAAAAAACTCACCTTAATTTGATTCACATTAGAATAGTAAGCCCATGTCACACAGTTTGCATCATGATTGCGACTAGGTCCTGACCTCTCAGGGATGTCCCAGATGTAAGTTCGTGTTTGCCCTGTGTATAATCAAGATACATTGTGTTTTATCAGTTTGGATATAACAAAATTATATTACAATCTTAATAGATCAATTATATATGTTTTACGTTATTAGTACATTAAGGCTATTTTGAGTAATTATGTATTATTCTAATTTGTCTCTTTATTGCTTTGCCAATTTTTAACGCTTAGCGTGCTTTATCAGACAGTATTATTGTTACAGTGTTCATTGCATAATGTACATCTTAAAAGGAAACTGCTTTGGGAAATGATGGGGTGTGGCTAAGAGGACTGGGGTTACACTGTAAAAAGCTGCAAAACATTTTTTTATTTTCAAAACTCAAGAGACTTGAATGAGTGGAAAAATACAGCATGCATTTGATGCAAAAACCAATGAAATACACATAAATTGTATTGGTGCCCAGAGTGTCACTGGAATGTCCTTCTGGTAAAAACCTATTTGATATATTTCTAAAATATATTCAATAATATAAACTTGACCAGGACAAAATTGAAGAGAATAACATGATTCAGGCCAAAAAAAAGTATTTTTTTCCCTCTGTTATAATGTACTTTTGCTCAGGATTGCCCTTATTTCTTCCTCACATCAATATAAAAGGGCAGGGTTTCGTGGCACTGATACTTAAATATTATGGCAATCAAGCTGCTGTTGGCTATAGACCTAATGAGGTTCAGTTAACCGACAGGTTGGCAAGACGGTAAGCAACATAAGGAGTTATAGTCTATAGATACTAGGATTGTAATGAACACACCTTCTGTGGGAGAAAACTATATTTCAGACAGGTCTATACCAGTTAAATTAAATAGTTTCTCACCTTCTCTCCCACTGCAGTTGCTGCTCCTCTATTGGCTGAGATCATACTTATGGGCGACCTTAGCCAATCTAATGCTTCCCAATAGTGAAGTATTCAGGACTACAGTGCATGTGTGGAAATCACACTACTGCACCAATTGCTTTTCCTTGTGAAAATGCAAAACCCCAATACATCTCTAATGGAACGTTTGATATCTTTATGTAGAGCAAATTCGGTCCTATAAAGACTGCAGGACCATGATAGAAAGCGTTTCTGAGATACATCTGCTGGAGGTGTCCTCAGGGGCAAGAAAGGCGCTATCTGCTATTGAGGTACTGCAGAGACAGTCTCTTTATACCAAAACTACTACATGATGCATGTTAAAGCATGTTTTAGTACACTAGGCTATCCAACACAAGAACACTTAAACTGTTATGCAGGATGCATGTCAGATATACTGGGTTGACAAGTCCCTTTTACAACCAGATAGGATGTGTCATTGGCATTGCCCTTGTGCCAGGCTATTCCCCACTCATCCTGTTCTTACCTAGCTTCATACCTGGTATGCAAATTGTATGTGATTATGCTTGTAGTATTCTTCTCTTGCAAACCATGAAAACCTTTTTGAACTTTTTTCAGTACAAATTCCCCCCATGAAATCCCATCAAATAAACAATTTTAAATTAATGACAACTCAAAGAAAAACTCAGGTCTTTGTAATGGGGACACAACTAGCAGTAAGTTAAAATGTCCTGCTCTTTTACTAGGATTTTCATGGAGTGACAGGAAGATAGACAAGTAGATGTCAATTCTACTCAAGGTCCAAAGAAATGTAATGTTCTAATCTGTAATATAGTCACTAATAGCATAGACCCTATGTGAATTGCAGAGAAGCAAAGTCAGTTTAAACATGTTCCTTACGAATTATATTTTTTACAGCTATACCTACTCTCCAGTCTGTCAAATACAATAATTATTTTAGATAAATGATGTTGCTACTCCAACACAGTAATGGTCTTTACCTGGTTCAGCAGGCTGGACTGAATCACCTTCTGTTTTTACACCATGGGCATATATTGAATATGGTCTGCTTGCCTTGTTATGAAAGATGATTTTAACTTGACTTCCTACATTTGCCTTTATAAGCGGGCCTGTAAATGAAGGATGTGAATATTCATTCATATTAGGGAAATAATATAATATTAGTGCTAATATTTAAGTTTAGTAAAAAATAAATTTTCCACAAAGACAACATACAGGCAGTTGATTTCACTATTAAGTTTAAAATAAAAGATATAATGTTAAATGTTTCCTTCAGAAAAACAATATTTCAATAATACAGTTTTGTGTGTGTTTTTCACACAATTTCAGTTCAGGTCTAATTACCTAAAATCTCCAAATGTTCTTGCTCTTGAGTCCTTGCTTTGGGTGTAGTAAATGTCTTGTCTGTATATTCACGATATACTGCTTTTTTATACTTTGAACCAATAAATGTATCACTTTTCTTTAAAAACACTTCTCCTGGACTAAAATACAAAGATAATTGGAAATTGATTTATATCAGAATACAGTTTATAGAAAAACAAAAACAAACAAAACCACATTTTAGTAACAGAATTTAGAGGTAATTAGTCAAGATTACAATATCATGCATGCTTGAATACACATCTTGCAGTACCTCAAGGGCTGTTTTAGTATTATTTTTTTGTTTTGTTTTATTTTAAAAATCAGGACTGCTATAAGTTTAGGAGAATTGGGACTTCCATCTATCTAATTACCCATCATGAGCTTATATTATATCCAAGGTCTTTAGAAAATGTTTTGGGGAGCACATTCATTAAACTCACATTACATTGTTACAAATACCAATAACAATGGCAAAATTTTATCTATTTCTGTCATACCTACTGCACAAGACAAACATTGTATCTCTGCACCTATGCTAACATTTTAAATATCAATCTGTAAAACAGATTATCCCACCACCACATTTTGTGAAGGCTGAGTAAATAAAAAACTGTGAAAATTTACATAATTAGAATTGAGAATAGCCTATAAAAGGTAGACTTATTCAATACCTGTAGCAATATTTAAACATTTTAGAAAAGTCCTGGTCAGTAAAGTAACTGTGAAACCCCATCATATAAATACTAATTAAAATGTACTTCATCTACAGCATTGTTGATGGCCAGTTAATATTTTTTAAAGAAAACATTTTAATCGTCTCAAACCAATTAATTTGTTGAAGGAACTCCATTGACTATTCTTTCTGGAACTGCTAATCTTCAGAGAGAATTCAGAACTCTGTGTGTAGGAAGGCACTTAGACAAACATACACTTAATATTAAATCTAGTGCTGCTACTAGACTCTAGTGTATTTTTATTTTGTATTCTGTATATTTTATTGGTTTACTATTATTATTATTATTATTATTATTAGCGCTAACCCCTTAAGGACTAAACCAATTGTAAAAGTTATGATCAAAACAAAACATTAACAAAACCTGAAATTTGCACTATTTGTCTTTTAATTCACCTCTTTCATATTAAATACATCCACACTTATCAAATATAATTTTGTTCAGGAGAAATAGGGCTTTCATGTGAAATCCAATATTTATATATAAAACATAATTTTATATGAATAAAATATAAATAAATGTGAGAAATTAAGAAATTTTTTTTTTTTTTACTTCTGCATGGCATTTTAACTGTGAATGTCATAATACTGTTAGCCGTTATTGCAATAAAGTACACATATTTGTACTCAGCGATGTCTTACAAGTAAAACTGTACCCGTCATGTACAGGTTTTATGGTGTTTTGGAAAGTTACAGGGTCAAATATAGCATGTTACCTTTTTCAGTATATACACATTGAAATTTGCAAGATTGGTTATGTTGCCTTTGAGACCATATGGTAGCCCGGGAATGAAAATTAACCCCATGATGGCATACCATTTGCAAAAGTAGACAACCCAAGGTATTACAAATGGGGTATGTCCTTTTTTTTAGCAGCCACTTAGTGACAAACACTGGCCAAAGTTAGTGTTCATATTTGTTTGTATGTGAAAAATGCAAAAAATTTAATTGAACGCTAATTTTGGCCAGGGTTTGTGACTAATTGGCTAATAAAAAAGTGACTTGACATACCCCATTTGCAATACCTTGGGTTTTCTACTTTTGCAAATGGTATGCCATCATTGGGGTAATTCTCATTCCTGGGCTACCATGCGGTCTCAAAGGCAACATAACCAATCTGGCAAAATTCAATGTGAAAAAGCATAAATGCAAGCCTTATATTTGACCCTGTAACTTTAAAAACAAAACAAAAACTAAAACCTGTACATGTGGGGTACTGTTATACTCAGGAGACTTTGCTGAATGCAAATTTCAGTGTTTCAAAACAGTAAAATGTATCACAACAACTATATCATCAGTGAAAGTGCCATTTGTCAAAAGAGACAAACAACAGTCCCTAACTACATGGGCGGAGTTAACTGCTTGTAATATCAGAGTACTCGGTCCTCTCCTTTTAATTGTATATTACTTGCTTCATTCACGGCAGTGTGGATTCATTCCTTTCCGTGGTGACCCCTCTTTGCGATTGGTTATGTGGGGAAGTCATAAAGCAAAATAGGGTATAATGCCCAGTGCCATTGTAGCAGGACGGGGACACTCTGACTTGGTCTCCGCCTACGGCCTTTTTTCCATCACTGCAATTGGCCGATGGATGAATGGGGCGGAGAACATTCCGTATGATGGAATATACAGTCCACCTTCCCAAATCTAAAAGTAGGGGGTGTGCCGAATGGACAATGGTGTTCCCATCTTACGGATGTGCGAGCCATTACGTCACAAGCCCGCCCCCAAATTAACATAAGGGGAATAGACTCACGATGTAGCCAACCCCTGATTTCATTTGATTGGTTTAAAATATTCAGGGGCTGGTTCAACTGTTTAGTACCTTCCCTTCAAAAAGCAGGCTATGGGAGGTCATTCAACGCTAGCCCCAGATGAAGGCACAACATCTTTAGTGTCGAAACGCGTGTCAGGCGTTTTTGAAAATTTAAATGTTTGACTTTGGTTATTTGTAGTTAGCATTATGATTTAGGCTTATTTATTTTTGGGAAGCACAAGGGTATGGGATTTCTTCTAGAATTGAAGAGATTGCAGCTCTATGTCTAACTATCTTATTTGCTTATTTCTAATTGAGTTAATGTGGTATGTAGGGATCTTTTATCCCAAGGTATTAAGCAATTATAGTAGAATCTATGTTACCTAGAATTTAACTACATTAAAATAATCAAAAACTATCAATAACATCTTTGTTGTATATTATGTAGCATTTCTAAAGGGTATTAGAGGGTCATAGGTGAATCTATGCTACCGTGTTTCTCCGAAAATAAGACCGGGTCTTATATTAATTTTAGTCACAAAAAACACACTAGGGCTTATTTCCAGGGTAGGGCTTAGAGCCAGTCTGTCAGCCGGTGTCCGCGCTGTGTAACCCCCCCAGAGACCCTCACCTCCCCCTCCCTGTAATATTCTCTCCCTCCCTCCCTGTAATATTCTCCCCCCTCCCTCCCTGTAATATTCTCCTCCCTCCCTCCCTGTAATACTCTCCCCCTCCTGTAATATTCTCCTCCCTCCCTCCCTGTAATATTCTCCCTCCCCCTCCCTCTCTCCCTGTAATACTCCCCCCCCCCCAATCTTCTCCTCACCTGCTCTTCCCTGTAGCGTGGCCGAGCTCCTCTCCGGTCTGCGACCCGGCCGGACTGACAGGAAGTGCACTTCCCAGGAGCTCAGCCACGCTACAGGGAAGGGGAGGTGAGGCAGTGCGGCAGCCGTCTGAGCGCTCTCTATAGAGTGCTCAGTCGGCTGTGGCATTTAAAGGACGGCAGCCGCCGGCCCTGCCTAGGTCTTATTTTCGGGGTAGGGCTTATATTGCAGCCCACTCAGATAATCCAGCTAGGGTTTATTTTCGGGGTAGGGTGTATTTTCGGGAAAACACGGTAGCTAGTAGTTCACAATATTGATAACTCCAACATTACAAGTACTTTGTTGCTCCTTATGTAGCATTTATAAAGGTTGTCTTTTTAAACTACTGATCTTCAAAGGACTCTCTCCCCCACCCTGCACTTTATCAGAATCTTTATAACTTTAATAATGCAGTTTTCCTATCTTCCTCGCTCTTAATAGTCATTTAGTTAATAGACCACTTTACCATGCCCCAATACTTAATAAAGGAATTTCCCAAAATTATAGAGGCTTTATGTCAAAGTTTTTTTTTTTTTTTTTATCTCATATTTAATCTCATACCTATAATGTATTTTTTTCATTTGCATTCTTGGATCCTTTGTCCTAGTAATAAGTAATTTAATTTGTTATGGGAATTTCCTCACCTTGGTTCCTCTCTCTATGTAGCTAGGGACTGTAGTTTGTCTTTTTTGTTATATATTACCCAGGGTTATGACCTAATTTGGAAATTTATCCCAGGAGAGACCTTACCTCTTTTCTTCCTTTGTACGTAAAGTGCCATTTGTGTGTAAAAAATGCAAACAATGACGCTTTTACTGATGATATTTTTGTTGTGATATGTTTTACTGTTTTAAAACACTAATATTTGTGTTCAGCGAAGTCTCCCAAGTAAAATAGTACAGTTTTATAGCGTCTTGGAAAGTTACAGGGTTAAATATAGGGCTTGCGAACCAAATTCTAAATTACTTAATTATGTAAAAATATAATATAAATATATATGTAGAATTAAAATATGTATATATATGTAGAAAGGCCATTAGGCCTGAATTTGTGGGAGGAGTTAGGCCCCTACTTAAACTCCTAGCCACTACTCACCTCTGACGTTCAAGTTCGAGTGTTTCCGATTTCACTGACTTCCGGTCCGGGCGTCCTATCCAGCTGCAGTCTCCGGCAGAATCCTCCGTCCGGTGCGGCGATCTGGCTTCCTAACAGCCAACCGTGAGTAACACTTACACCCTCATTCCGGTCTCCTGCATGCCGTTCGGCGGTCTTACCAGGGGGCCAGAATGCACATGGGACCACAATAACTTTTAACGGAGACCACCTACGGTTTCCACGCTAAGGCACCTCGGGGATCAGTTGGTACAACCTTTCGTCAGTACCGCCCCCCCCCCACGAACTCGTAGGGTTCGTGGTATGTAAATACCCCTTCTCATTATACCACATACCGGCTTCGGTTAACTTGTTGCCTAGGTAACGTATTGTTTATGTGAAACTGCATTAGGATAGAGTCTGTTGGGTATATCAGAGTCCATGCTATGCTTATTAACAGTATTTGTAAAGGATGCATTCTCAGTTTTCTACACATTTCTAATAGATATCACGGCATATTGCTTCTATCTGCAAAACTTTCTCACATGCTTTCCCATTGCGGCTTGTGTCAGTTTTCATATGCCAGTTAGTGAGTTGTTATCGCCACCTTGTGGTTTTTTACGTTATTGGTTGGTTCCTTTCTTCATGTTTAATAAAGGTTTCTGTAGCTTGCCCAATCTAACGAACTTAGCTGTTAAAATTACACAATATTACACCATTTCTTTATGTGCAGATGTTAATCTTAGCTCTGTTAAAATTTCTTTGGTCTCCACAGATCGTACCATTTTGTTATATATTACAGCTAAATTGCCAAATCCTGGTTCTTGTCTTACATACCAAGTATTGTATTTATTTACTTCAGTTTATGTTTTTCAAGGCCTCAGGCAGCCTTCACTCTAAACTTGTCGCTCTGTCAGGATTTCACGTTGCGCTCATACGTCACGCTCACACAGATCAACATCTCCCCTAGGCCTCTTCTACGATATCGCCAACTACCGTGCCTCTCTACTTAAATACTCAAAGGTTTAAGCTCCATGGTATAATCACTATCAAGGTTAGTATCCACCATTACATAATTTACAAGTATCCCATAGAAGGTGCGTGAACTGGCTTACAGGGACTGGGCTCCAGGCCTAGCTTAACAAGGTATTTTCATGTCCCGTAAGGCCATCTCCCACCTCAACACGGAGGTACGGCCCCACATCCAAATCATAGATAAACGCCTCATTCGCCTTTCTACAGGGCCTCACTTTCCATGGCCACACGTTTTGAACCTCTTAAATGTCATTGAGAGGCCAACATCCCGCCACCACATCTGTGGCCACGTACTTACCTCGGCCAAATCATAGATAGAGCCTCTCACCGCCATTTGGCACTAGTAGGGCCTCATCTGTCACTAGTCATAGTTAAGTTTTTTGCTTCTGCAATAGCCTTACAGTCCAGTTCACCTTAGGAACCCCCCTGCCCCCCCTCATTTCATTCTCTCATACACCCCTACTAAACCCAAATCATTAATTCGTTTTTAGACTGTTTCAAGATCCGGCTCCCATTGACGAGTTGCCTACCAATGAGATTCCGTTTACTCCTATCAGACCCGAGTCGCCAGGTGAATCGTTCGCCCCCTCTACCCCTACGTCCTTGAGAGCATGGACTTTTCCTAAAATTACGGCTGAACTGAATTACGGCATCCCCTTTCCAGCTACGGCCCGTAAGGCGTAACTTTACAGACTTTCAGACCCCCTAGCCTAGGCCAGGCACTGGCTCTCCAGGTCAACCATCTGGTGCTTGCACAGCCACCCAAGACACCCTTGCGGAAATCCTGGCCAATCTGCAGACCCTGAACAAGCAAGGTGGAAAGTGCCATCGCCTCCCCAGGTAACCTCCCTGGCCTCTCAGCCCTCACACCGGCAGTCTCTGCTGCACCAACACCCGCCCCTATACTTCCCCCTTCAGCTCCTACCTCAGATACGTCAACTTTCGTGTCACCAGCTCACTCCGTCCTAGACTCCATTAGGAAAGAAATCCTGGATGGGAAGGATGTGTGTCTGGTGTCATTGCTTATAGCCTCCCAAGACGTGCTGGAGAACCGGGCTTATAACTTCGGGGATATTTCTGTGGTGCTTAAAACCAGAGACACTAGGCTAAACAAAAAAATTATCTATTCCCAATTTCGTATTGGCTTTCGGGATATACCGCAATGTCATTTGCTCGGTATATCCCCACAGGAGAGAGGAACTGGACTTCTATCTCCATAAAGTGGTGGATTTGGGCATCAAGTACGTGGGCTCATATTTATGATTATCATAAATCAATATCAGCGAAAGCGGCGACACATCTGAAGCAGTTTAAAATAAGAATTAACTGGTGTCAGATGGATACAGAATTATTCTGTCGCCACTTCGCTGGTGTGAGGCCCCGTCTTGTGCTATATGTAATTCTTCAACCCATTTGGCTGATTTGTGCCCTTCTGTGGCTGTTCCATCCACCCCCACTCCCACCCCTCACAATAAACAAGAGGGTGGTCAACGGGATAAACTGGGTAGACCCATCTCCTTTCTAGGGAAAGCTCAGATGTGCAACAATTTCAATGCAGGTTCCTGCAGCTTCAGCGCCTGTAGATTGTTGCACATCTGCTCTATCTGCTTCAGGGTACACACAAAGACCATGTACCCATTCAGGTTGTCCCCTAACAAATGACTATCCGACATTAATATTGACAACCTGTTTTTTTACTTGAAACCTCATCCGAGCAGACATCTAGTGGAATATTTGTCAGCAGGGTTCACCCAGGGCTTTCTCACGGGTCTCGTAGCCATTCCCCCAGGCACGCTGGAATGTCCCAATCTCCACAGACGCTCTTCTTTCCGCTGAAATAGCACAAAGTTTCATGATTGGCCCCTTCACCTCCTCACCTTTTTCCTCCAGGCGATTTTGAGAGAGGAGTAAGTCCCCTACTTAAACTCCCAGCCCCTACTCACCTCTGATGTTCAAATTCGAGTGTTCCCACCCACCTGCACCCTTAAAACAATACAATTCTCCTTGGTGGGCCCACTTTTATTTACAGGCCCACTCGGACGTTGGTTTCGGCACACCACAACCAAACTTTCATCTCAGACACTATCCATTACATATTAAATTCCGAGCACAAATATATATATATATATATGATCTAAGTGATTTTATTACCTTTAATTAAACTTTTTAATAACTTTTATTGACTTTCTAAACTTTTTTTGCAGGCATTAGGGGGACAGCCTGAGAGTTCAGACAGTCCCCCTGCAGGCACTGCATAAGCCAGCTATTTCGGCCATGTGATCATGAGGACCCCGCATTCACATGGCCTGGGAGGGCCGGATCGTTCAGAGGATCACAAACGCACCGCTCTCCGGCGTTTAGAGCCACCCTGAAAAGGACGGCATAGAATGCCAGCCGTCCTTAAGGGGTTAAAAATAAAAATCTTTCAATAAAATATTTGACAAGAAGAGGAAGTAAACCGGCAATATAAACATTGCATCTCCCACCTGACAAACATGCAAAGAAGTGAAACAGCCTAAGGGTGAACAAGCAGCCGTTGGCCTTTCAGAGTGGAGTGCTTTATACAGAACCAATATACATTTACCTCTACATTGGGGATGTACTGTATTATATAACGTAATTAGGCTGACGGTTGCTTTTTCATCCTATGGCTATTTCGCTTCTTTGCACTCATGCAATCCTGTTTTTCTACTAGGAGTTTTCAGACTTTGCCAAATGGGCAGTCTAAATATCATGACTACATCATCACATTAAAGTGGTTATGGTACCTGTGATCTCTTAGTACCATCCCACAGATCAGTGTTAAACCATTTCTGAATAGTTTAACATTGAATAATGGCTCTAAGCCCCAACATGGACAATATCTGCTAATAAAATAATTCTTCCAGATTAGCCTGTGCAAAGGTGAATGGCAGTGATAAGCAGAAAATGGCAGCTGAGCGCTCTCAACTATGGCCTTTGCTGGTATGAACTGGTATGGCTAATGTGGAATGTTACTCTGCATTATATATACCGCCAGTGGAAGGAGAGTCATGGGCACTCTGGGACCCTCGTTAAGTTTCAAACTATGCAAAGAAGGTTCCACACTGAACTGTGGTATAGTGCAAGGAATGTCCACACACAATAACCACTTTAATGAGAGGTCATAGTGCCTGCTGTGCCACTTTAAATTATATATCTGTCTTATTCTCATCAAATGTTTCTAATTTATTTAACTGAAAATTAGTAACAAATTGGCCACGAGACTACTACTCCCTCAATTGGCACACTGGTATTCAAAAGCCGTATTTTATTATTGCATTATAGAGTCTATGAGGAGTACCTTTCGTCATGGTGTTGATGTCTCTCATGTTCCCAAGTGCGATTTGGAGAATAGTCCCATTCTACTTCTTCAGCTGCAATGTAATATGTCTGTCTAGATGGGATTACAATTTTAGACTTCTTCTGGCTGCTGCAATCTTTAACCCGATAATGTTGCTTCATGCCACCGGTAAAATGGTCCGTGGTCATGCACTTCACATCAAAAAGACCTAAGGAAGAAGGCATTTCCATTACACATCTCTGGTACAATGTTTGTACATATGTTTCGTATGCAATTTAGATTTACTTTAAAACAGGTGGCCTATGTTCTTGCCTTCCTCTGGCTGTAACTATTTAAGTATTTTTTAGTTTTGTTCAAATTTGAAACACAGTACTCAGCTCATCTCCATATCAAGATGTCCATTGATATTGGCCTCTATGCATGTAATATATTTATACTGCCTTCCCCTGCTTTCAATTCTTACTTAATTAATTTCAGCCTGAGAGATGTAATTTGTTTTCTGTAACACTTCACAATTTGGGGTGTTGGTTATTTTTCAGTTGATGATTTTCACAAATTATAATATACAGAGTGTTGCATACTTAATTTATGTATGCATGTATATAAGTAAGTGTGTATGTATCCAAGTGCTTATTACATAAACTTTGCACAATATCTGAGTATGTTAGATAAACCTACCAGCCCAACTTATTAATGAATTCTGGTAAAAAAAGAGTCTATATAACCTAAGATTTTTCCTACATGATTCAACACATAATGTTGCAAAAAGGGGTGTCAGACAAATTTATCAATAGAGTACAGAACATCAAATTAAAGTGAATTGAAAACCGAATGGAAAAATTTCTGCAAAAAGTGAAGTTTTGGAAGCCCTTGGATTTTTTTATGTTATTTTAGCCTAAATTTAGCAATGTGGTTTTACATTTATTAACAGTTCTAAGCTTAGTAAATAAAATAAACAATATCCTATAAGAAAAACAATCCTGCTGAGGCAAGTTATACACATTACCCTATCCATGGTATACCAAACCACCCAACTGTCATTTGGAAGAATCATCTAAAATGCTGCCTCCTGTCCTTCTGCCTCAGGTTATTCTGCATCTGGACACATCCCAAAAGCACTAGACAGGCTGCCTCTTTTGGGCATTGTCTGTCATGCAAATAGTGTCACTGTAGGCTTATTGACCCTCTGACCCAATTAAAATAAATGTTCCAAGAACCATAACTACTGCAGCCCACTGTAGTGATTATGAATGCCCTCCCAAGGTAAGTAGTCAAACTGTTTGTGCAAGTCAGCTCCTCTTGTGCAGCCAGACGCTCTTTGCACTGAGCTGCCATGATAGTCCACAGAAGAGGCTGTGATTGGCACTGCTGTTGGACCCTAGGTAAGTTGTCAAACTGCGTGCACAAGCTTTGATTACTTACCCTGAGAAGACACAGGTCAAACCTAGCACCACAGGCTGAGATGAATATGGCACTTGGAGCATTCCTTTAATACCACCTAGTGTTGAGAGGTATGTTATATAAACATTATACACAAACTGCTATTGCCCCAGTGTACACTGCACCACTCTCTATTACACAGTATTTAGCGGTTTAACAAAAATCTTCTATTTGTGGTCCTTTACCTGCATTGTCAGGTCGCATGGAAGCTGAAATAGAAATGTGTGGAAAAACACTTGCTACATCTCTTCTTCCAGAATGGTGATCTGTAAAAGTGTTTCCAGTAAAGTGGATTCCGTGCATGTCTACCTCGCTCCCGATTCCCATCACATACCAGAGAACTGAATTCCCTGTGCACATTTCCAGACCAGGCTGATTTCCATACATGTAACCATTGATAGCTGAACACAGTATACAAAACAGAAAATTATTACCATTGAACTGTCCAACTGTGGCATCAGAGAGCATGAAAGCGATAGAGTATGAATCAAATTATTGAAAGGAACATTAGCACGTTAGGAGTAGAAATCTGTATTCCTAACATTATAGTGTTTCTGTCCCTAGTAGTACTAGGCCTCTGCCGTTTGGTAGTAGTTGTTTGGTACGCTCCCACAGCACTGCTCACCTCTCCTCCCCAGGCACCGTCATAAAGGAGGCAGGGACTCCTCTGGTGCGGTCCAAATAAAGCCTCCTCGTTGAGGAGCAATGGGGGACCTAATACGCATGCACGGCAAGTAATGCAAGCACTACATATATTCAAACATTTCCATAGGAAAGCATTGAACCATGTTTTCCATGTCACATGACTGGGTTTTATTCGGTCTGTGCTGCAGAAGCTCCTCTAATGGCTGTTGGTCTGACAACAACTAGAAAAAGTAGAAAAAGGAAAAGGAGTGTTTACAGTCCTAAAGATAACATAGGGTAGACGTCTAAAAACATGTCATTTATCAGGTATTCGTTAAAAAAAAAGGGAAAGACACTACTTAAATAAACCAAAACTAAAATATGGGAAGACAAAGGGAACTCAAAAAGAAATTAGAGAATGGTTGCTGGGACACTCCAATGTCTAATACGAGGGTGTCTCGGAAGCTCAAATGTGTAATATAAGGGTGTCTGTATCTACTGGTGAAATACTGATAAAAATCAGGATGACCCACTAGACTAGATAATACAAATGCAACAAAACACAAGGTGGCAACAGTGTATAAAAATATATCGACTAGAATCCCTGCAGAAGAGTGAACACCCAGTAAGTCAACATTAGAAACACTTACAGAAAGATAAGTCCTGCGCTCACTCTCATCACTCCTGGGCGGCAGCAACGACTACAGTACACATCAACCCCAATATATATAGTAAAAACCAAAGAAAAACAAGTTACCTGCACTCTCTCCTTAATCCCTTTGTATATTTAAACAAATGGAGGTCATTTAGTTACTCCAATGGCCACTGGCCATTTTTTATATACACCCCTATATACTTATTAACCCTTAATAGGGAACACATGGGATGGGCGGCAGCATTGTTTTTCTTTGATAAGAAACACTGTTGCCACAGTCTGAGTAAATTGAAATGATACACAGTAATCGAAAACCAGGAAGGGAACAAAAAAAGGGGAATATGAACTAAATAGTCACAATAAATAGGGTGAATAGTAATGCAGATAGAATCTAAATAGAAAACCTAAATTATTGAGCCGAATCTGGAAGTGGAGCAAAAATATTGTATAAACGGCATAGACAGAGTCTAATGTGAGACTAAAGGTCAGCGACTACTATCTAGGTGGTCCCTAATCTGTGCCTTCGAGGGTACCTATGATTCTAGATATAGAAAAGTACTGTAGTCTAGCTGTTATAACTCTAAACAATCTAGATAGTATAAGAAGAGAGTCTAATGTTAGACTAAAGATAAGTACCAAATGACTAGGTGATCCCTAAACTGTGCCTTAGTGGGCACCAACGATTCTTGGATATAGGAGAAGAGTCTAGTCTAACTGTAAAACAAAAAATAAAAAAAAGTGAAAGAAGGTTTAAGAAAAAGGTAAGACACTGGCATGTAGAAATAATATCACGATAGCAAGCTAGTACGGATGTACCTAGGTAGAAACTATACCATCTGGTATTGGCAAGAAATAACAGCCACAGTGTCCAAAATCGCAACACCCCAGCCTGCTAGAATTTTATAAATCTGATTATAGCTAACATAATCAACATTGCAAAAGTAATAGCCGAAGTCTCTCGAGTAAAGAGTGACTAATGCAGGATAGGGTGTCCTACTGAGCCCTGACGCGGTCTCGCCGGTAAGCGGCTCTTGAGGGGTGTATATTCATACTATTTATTCATCACTTACCGGGTCTCATGTTATCACTATACTTATATTTATTTTTCCATATACATATAAGTATAAAGTCAGAATTGTCAGGAATTAAAAGTGAATTTTGTGTTTATCTCGTGGCCAACTTTTACCTGCACATCATTTCTTTTTAATTAATAAATTAATATATATATATATATATATATATATATATATATATGATTTGCTTACAGTGCATCATATTAGACTCTTTGAAGTCTGGATCTTCTTTGTTTACTTTGTCAGGACTGCTTGTAAATAAATGTATGTTTTCATCCAAAAGCCAGCTCTCATTCTCATCAAATACAGCTGACAAAAGAAAATAGAGGTGATCTATGCCAACCTGCAAAGGTGGGAAAAGAATTAGCGACTGGAAAATAGACACACAACTTTTAAATTTAGAATTTCAATGTACTCACAGAAAACGGGAATTAAAAAAAAAAGTAATGCTTTATTTAAAGAAAGGGAAAAAAATCAATTTCACAGCCAAGGATTCCAAATGTTTAAATTTGTATTACTAAATTTAATAATGATGAGGTCAATTAAACCATAGCTTTTGTTTAAGTCTTCATCTTTTACATTGGTTTCAAAGAAAGAAAAAAAAGCCCTTTCATTTGGTGACTATCCTGCTCTGCAATCCTGATATCAAGTGTAAATATCTTTCCCATTTATGAAACCAAGTTGTTGTTGAGCTAAGTAAAGTAAATTGTAAGGCTTGATATATGGGTTTAACCCCTTAAGGACACATGACATGTGTGACATGTCATGATTCCCTTTTATTCCAAAAGTTTGGTCCTTAAGGGGTTAAACTAAACAGGAGTTTTTCAGATATTCACAACATATTAAAAACAATGGTACAATCAGAGCTGGCTGTAAAAAAAAAAAATGCCTTTTCATTATCTCAGTAATGTCACTGAATAGTAAGGGATCACCTCCAGCCTCAATTTGTCTCTCTTAGGCTTTAGAAAGGAGTGGCAGGATCTACAAGTACATCAAAATATTTATCTTTAGAAAATATACCTGACCATTATATATTGTGGAAGACAATAGCTGCAGAAGCCGGTAGGCCATATATAACCTTCAGTATATTTAACAGAAGCAATTCTACTCTTTGTTTATTAAAGCATCATTTTTACCTGTTTGTCATTTTTAAGTGCCTGGCATACTAATAAAGGACCCACTAGTCCAGTATTGGTGTCTTTAATAGGATCCACAGATGAGAAGTACAGCCATGGTAAGCAGTTTCGATCACGTGGGGTGGAACCAAAAGAGGCTGGTATATACCAATCGTATGTGAATGTATCCCCAGGTTCCACATGAGAAGCAGGTGTAGGAGACTTGTTCTCTATGGTGAAGGTGAACAAACAAAAATATATATTTTATAATCTTGGTATTAGTTTATATAATTGCTGTATTGTACGTTTTGTAAATTATTGTATTTTTTATCACATTTATAATGTGTCAGAATTAAGTGACCACTCCACTGCTGTAGCTATGGTTTGTTATGGCAATACTGGCAACAAACATGTTTCAAACACCAAACAATCTGTTTCTTTAGAATTAAACTGTCAAATAATGTGCCTCATGATAGGTTTATTTGCTTGAAAACTGTAAAACATCAATGCTTTAGCAACATCCAAACCCAAGGCTTGTTTATCTGTTTGAATGCCCAGCTAGCATTACTGAAAATTGGGGTATTTATAGAGAGATGAAAAATTAATAGAAAAAACTGCTATGTTTGTGTATTCATCTTGTTTCAACAAGATTCTTTATTTTTTTAATTATTAATATGTCTCTCTTTTTCAGAAGGTCATATTTTTTCACAACGTGAGTTGGCTGTACGGGTGCGAACAACGGACAGGAGAAAGTCATGGGCAGAGCGGAGAGACCGAGAAGAGGCATACCTATGGGTTTGTGAAGAGATATAAGAGGGGCTAGAATTGTTCAGTGCTTTATAGGAATGGGTTAGCACTTTGAATTAACTCCTATAGGATACAGGAAGCCAATGTAAGGACTGACAGAGGGGTGAGGTGTGAGAGGACAGACTAGAGAGGAAATCAGTCTGGCTGCAGCATTCATTACAGATTGTAGCAGGGCAATACAGATTTTGGGAAGACCATTTAGGAGAGGGTTACAATAATCCATGCAGGAAATTACTAGAGCATGGACAAGTTCCTTGGTAGCATCTTGCATAAGAAAGGGGAATCTACAGGATTTGGCAACATACTGGATGTGAGGCAAAAAGGTGAGGCCAGAATCAAGTATGATGCCAAGACAGCACGCTTGCAAGGATGGACTTATGTGGATACCACTAATTTGAAGGGAGAGCAAAAGAGGAGGATCAGAATTAGGAGGAGGAAAGACAAGGATCTCAGTTTTAGAGATTTAGTTTCAGAAAGCGGGAGGACATCCAGTCAGAGATGAAAGAAAGGCAAGCAGTGGAGGAGATATACATCTAGGTGTCATCAGCATACAGGTGGTAGTGAAATCCAAATGAGGTAGTAAGTTTGCCAAGAGAGGCAGTATAAAGAGATAATAGAACAGAGCCTTGGGAAACTCCATCAAGACAGGACTAGGGGAGGAGCTTTCATTAGAAAAGGAGACGCTGAATGAGCATTGGGAGAAATAAGAGGAAAACCATGAGACGACAGAGTCACAGAGACCGAGTGATTGAAGAGTTTGAAGAAGGAGAGCATGATCAGTGGTGTCAAGAAGAATTAGGCAGTAGAGAGGTCAAGAAGAATTAGTATGGAGTAGCGGGCTTTGGATTTAGTAACTTTGCTAAGAGCAGTCTCAGTAGAGTGGAGAGGCAGAAGCCAGACTGACGAGGGTCAAGGAGAGAGTTGGAATTGAGGAAGTTTGACATATGGATAAAGACAAGTCTTTCCAGAAGCTTTGAGGAGAAAGGGAGCAGGGATATGGGACGATAGTTAGAAGGGAAGGATGGGTCAAGAGATGATTTTTTCAGGATAGGCACTACAGTGGCATGTTTAAGGTCAGCAGGGATAATCCTAGAAGAGAGAGAGCAGTTGAAGATGTGTGTTAAGGAAGGCACAAGACAAGGGGAGAGAGCGATCTGATAAGGTGAGATAGGATAGGATCGAGCGGGCAAGTGGTGAGGCGAGAGGAAAGGAGAAGTGCAGCCACCTCTTGTTCAGCAGCCAGAGAGAAAGTCTGAAGGGTAGGAAAGGCATAATCTACGTGTGGTTGAGAAAGAGAAAGGCAAGGTGGGGAGAATTCTTTCCTTAGCTGTTCAATCTTGACGGTAAAGTAACATGCAAAGCTATCGGCTGTAAGGTTAGTTTGTGGGGTGGCCACAGTAGGGAAAAGAAGAGAATTAAAGGTGTCAAAGAGACGCCTGGGATTGTGGGAGCATGAACTAATGAGAGAGGAAAAGTATGACTGTTTGACGAGGGCAAGGGCTGCGCTGTATGAACACAATATGATTCTATAATGGAGAAAGTGTGACTGGGTGCAAAACTTCCTCCAGGAGCGTTCAGCCCAACAGGTGCATCTTTGCAGGTAGCATGTTGATTTAGTATGCCACGGTTGGGGGAATGCCCTCCTGAAGGTGCATGTTTGGAGCAGAGCTGCAGTTTTCAAGGCAGAGGTGAGGGTAGTGGTATATGTGGAGATGGCCAGTGAGGGACAGGAGAGGGAAGGGATGGATAGCAATTGTGAATCAATATCAGCTGACAGCTGCTGGAGGTCAATACAATTAAGGTTCCTCCTGAGTTGAGGGGGGTTAGTGCTGAGGTTGTTTGGTGAGGGGGTACTCGATAGCAAACGATAAGAGGTGGTGATCAGAGAGAGGAAATGGAGTGTTGAAGATATTAGATACTGTACATGCATAAGAGAAGATGAGGTTGAGGGTATTGTAGGCTACATGGGTGGGAGAATTAGCCCACTGCGATAGCCGTAGGGAGGAAGTAATTGAAAGTAGTTTAGAGGCTGCTGAGGTCAAAGGTATGCTAATGGGAATATTGAAGTCCCCGAGAATTAGGGATACAATATTAGAAGAGAGGAAGTAGGGTAGCCAGGCAGAGAGGAGAGGGGAACCAGGGGTGGTGATAAATAATGGCAAAGTTTGAGAAGGGTTTGAAAAGATGAATCGAATTAATTTTGAATGATGGGAAAGAGAGGGAAGGGGGGTTGGGTAGAGGTTTGAAGGAGCAGTGACGTGAGAGGAGAAACCTTACACGGCCACCTTTACATTCAGAGTGTCTTGGGTTGTGGGTAAGTTGAAGATCACCAAAGAATAAAGATGCAGGGGTAGTAGTGTCAGAGAGGGTGAGCCATGTTTCTGTTAAGGCTAGTAAATCTAGGGAACGAGAGATGAAGAGGTCGTGGATAGTAGTGGATTTTGTAATATTGCAAACAGAGCGTGCATTCCAGAGGGCAGTATTGAAGGAGGATTTAGAGGAAAAGTAACATGAGATGGGTATGAGATTGGTGTGGTTGCTTGAGTTCGTATGTGGTGAGTTTGCTGAGATGGGACCGGGGTTTGGAGAGACATCACCAGCTGCTAGGAGCAGAAGGATAGAAAGGAAGTAAAGGTGGGAGTAGGATTTGAAAGTTTTGTAAGAGCGTATGCATATAGAGGATTTGGGAGGAGTTAGAGGAAATAGCCTGGAAAGGTATATGTAGAGTGCATGGGATGAATAGAAAGGAGAGGGGAGTAAAGTGGAAATAATGAAGATGGTGTTGCCAGGGACAGGTGAGCAGAAGGATATTTTAGTAATGAGTGAAGTAAGTGTGAAAGTGAAAAATAGAAGGGATAACATTATTTAGAGAAAATATGTATAATCTTCATATCTATACAACAAAACACATGTATGTATATAATCATAGGCATGTATATATATACACACATACACACTTATACCTCTGAGTGATTAAACCCATTGTAATTAGATTGGATATTATTTATTTGCAGAAAAGTATTAACCATAAGGCAGCCACCTAGGGCCCAGGAGTTAGACAGGGGCCCCAGAACCATTAATTTGCTTTGCCCTTGTAATTATCTCTATGTGAAGAATGAACTAGGGCCCAAACTAGGGCCTCATGGGATCTTAGTCCTTCTCTGATAGTCAAATCATTTAAAGTGGGCAGTTTCGGTAAAATAACGGTACACACAATAAAATTAACTAGTTTGTATAATGACTTGCATAGAATCTGTGCAGAAATAAAATAAATCATTCACCTTCAGGAATATTGCTGGTTCTATATGAAGCTCCTTCCATGTTTTTGGTGTAGCTCACTCCATGTGCTTGGATACTGTATGGTCTGCTTGCATTATTTCTAAATGTTACTTTGACAATATCTTGTACTTGTGCCAAGAGAATAGGTCCTGTTTGGTAAAAAGAATACATGTTATCAAAGAAGACGTTATTTATCAAATTAAGTGAGCTATTACTGAGCTATTTTTAGGGTTATTTTTACTCACTGCTGTAGATGTCTGCTGTTAGTGCTCTGTTAGTGCTTTCAGGTAAATCAATATAGAATTGCAGGTGTACCATAAAACATTGCAAGTTGAAAGGTCTCAATAAGGTTCTAAAACCAAACAATTTCTTGCGGTTCCAACTTCAACTTCGCTTGACTTTTAGTGAACTTTAGTCATGCAAATGACTCAAAATCCGTCAGAGGTTAGTGAATATCAATGCCGCAATTTTTGTTTTGTTGTATCTTGCGCTAATTTAAAAAATGACATGGATGCAGCCAGTCTCAGTAATTGCTCGTATTGCAGTATTCTTTTACTAATTAAATAATCAACTTTTTTTATTGTGTAGGTTTTTTCAGCCAACATGGTCTACTTTATTTAACATTGATCTCTCTGTATATGTGATGAAATGAAAAAAAGTTTTACAATTGCTCCTACACACCTTGTGGTGGTCAGAGGCAGATGGTACAGAGACTGCTAGAACTGTGGGGTAATATGTGTCATCAAATGCACAATAGAACAAAGATTTCTGACCGACAATCTCAGGGAAGTTATATACGCAAAACTAATACAAAAGTAAATTTCTTACAATTTCACCAAATCAGATGTTTTTTGGGATGCTTGTACTCTCTATCATTAGAAATATACATGAACATGTGTATGTGGTGGCAATTTGGCCAGCACAATGTATAGGATACATATACTGTATTGTCATCTTTACCATGAGAATTAAGGCAGTGGATTGTTTGTATTGTTGGCTATTCGATTCCTATTTTTCAAAAATATGATAATTGCAAGACATAATGTACAATAGTGTTACCAAGTAGTCCAAGATGTTCTTCTTCTGCAGACCTTTCTTTCCTTTTTGTAAAAGTTGCATCTGTGTACCCCACGTAAAGAACCTTCTTGTAGGATCCTCCAATCCGTGCTTCATTTTGCTCAAAAAATGGCGCTGACTCACTGTTAAATTTTGCAGATACAAATAATTTACTGATCAAATTTGCTGCACTCACTATAATTAACTTCTTCTAAAGTCAATCAAATGAAAAGGAAGTATAAACTGAATGTGTAAAAATGAATGAACTTACAGTAAATCAATGAATAAACTGCACTACAGCAGCTAATAGCAGTGTATCTAGTGCCCTTATTCACTTTCAAGTAACAATTCATTGCTAGAAATAACTAGATGCTGGTTCATGTCTGGCGGGTGCAGACCACTTGTAATGTTCCCTTCACCTAGCACTGCAGAATTTATATGATCTGCAGCAGAGGCATAACTAGAAACCACTGGGCCCAGGTGCGAAAAGTGCCCTGGGCCCCACTGCCCCTACTTCTCTCCTCCTCCCCCTCCTTGTGTCACATTCATGCCCCCCAGCTCCTCTATATGTTTCATTCACCCCCACAGGGTGAGTGTGGCATGGTTGGGGTGGGGGGTGGGGTGGGATTGAGTATGACATAATTGGAGGGGTTCATGTAATAGGGTGAAAGGGGTCAATTGTGTCAGAGTAATGGAGAATGAGTGTGACAGTGCTAGAGAAGGTGAGTGTGATAGAGTGAATATGGCAGAGTGATGTGAGGTGAGTATAGCATGGGTGAGTGACAGGATTTGGGGAGTTATTGTGAGTGTGGCAGGGTGAAGGGGGGTGATAGTGTGTTTGTGCTTGGGTGACAGATAAACAGACAAACACACACTGGCATACATGCAGATACACACCATATAACACATACAGATACATACACGGACACACATGCAAATACATGGACACTTAATGACAAACATTCAGATACAAACAGTATGACACTCATACAGATACAAACAGTGACACACATACAGATACATATGCAGACACTGACCTACAGATATGCAGACATACAGATACACATATAGACACACATGCTGACAAACCGATACACATGCAGACACACATATACATACATACAGATACATACACATATACATACAGACACACATACATACAGACAAACAAACACACACAGACACATACATACAGACACAAACATACAAACAGACACATATATACAGACACACACTCACACACATACATACAGACAGACACACAGACAGACACACAAATACATACACATACACAGACAGACACATACATACATACATACATACAGACACACACACACATACAGACTCCCATACAGACATACATACACACGCAAATGCTAAATGTTTTAGTCACCTTTTTTTTTTGTTCTACCTTTTAGGTGCTGCAGGCTGACTTACCCTGGGGTCTAGTTGCTGGATCCAGCTGATGGGAGTCAGAGCAGGAACTCTGACTCCCTCCTCTCCTGCCTCCTCCCGCGCGGCTCTCTATAATAGCTGGGCAGGCGAGTCATTTCCACCTAGCTCTGACATCATCACAGGGACTTGGTCGTGCTATTAGAGCCCCGCAGCGCTGACCGGAATGAATTGCCATCTGTGGCCCTAACAGCATGGGCCAGCTGATCAGTCCATTCAATGCGGCCCCGGTGGTAGTACCATGCAGGCCGGAGCTGCATTACATGACTGGCAGGCACCCCAGTCACAGGGGTCTGCAGGGCGACCAGGCCCCCTGCACCCGCAGTAGTTTTGCCACTGATCTGCAGCCAGTGGGGGTGCATACCCCAAACTCCTTAGTTCCCCCAGCTTTAGAGTAAAGGGGTTGTTTGATTGCTCTTCAATCTCACTTTTGGCTTTTAGACCAACACTCAGCAGCAGCGGCCCTGCATTGGCCAACTGGGGAGTTACTTTGATTTCTCTGGCCAACCAGGAGGTATTTATCTTATTTGCCTGATGACCATTCATCCTTGCTACTCAAACAGAAGCATGGAGTTCCTACGGTGCATGCATGGCAATTATATAATCTTTCTCATAGAGAAATACAGAACCCAGTGCTTTTCTATAAGAAGCCCTCACATTCACTTTCAGCCAGGACGGTGAAATATAGGAGCTTTGTGAAAGTATTGTTTCATTTTGAAATTGTCACTTTTATAATATAAGAAAGAGAGGACCTTAACCCCTAATGCAAATCAGGAAGCTGAAGTGACTTGGGGGTCTGGAATGTTCCTTTTAATACTTTTATTTGGATGTATACAATCCCAAAATTGCAAATTGTGTAAAGAGAAAACATTAGTGATTTCTGTTCAATAGATATTTCACAGTATTTCTTTGAAAAGTATTATATAAACTCACACCCGTTTTGCTCTGCAGACTTGTAAATTGTTGTCGTGTGCAGGTGCCTATTTCAAACTTGAATCCAGTCATCAGGTTCAATGGAATTTTGCAATGTGAATGGATATTTAGTAAGTGGAGTTGTAATATCACAGGACAGGGGCTATATATGAAAAGTCATAGTAATTGCTTTGTGCTAATTATAAAGCTCACTTACATTCCATGCTATTTGCAATGCTAGCCTTCACCAGAGAAATTAACAAATTTGTGTGTCTGTGTCAGGTAGAAGAACTCTAAATTATTTCACTATTCTCCTAAACTATGTCAGGATTCTCCAGACTCCATTCTCCAGACTCACTGTTTTGGGTTTATTCGTATTATATGTTGTTTTTAAATTATAGATGTTGTTTCCCTACTGTATTTACTATTTATTTGGTGCATTGAGTCTATTTACAGAAATATTTTTTTACATTTTGGTGATTCTACTTTCCCAAGAATTTTAGCAGTTTTCTTAAAGCGAACCTGTGAATAAATGTTCAATTTAACATGAAACATCACCTAAACAAGTAAATCTATGCATTAATTAAACGTTGTCTCCATGGAGCTGGCACCACAATCACACACTGATCATTGTCAATCTGTTCTTGTACTCATCCAAATGTGCTTCTCAGAGTAACTGAATCATATGTTTTGTAGTTGCTGTGACAAAGTGCAGAAGAGCTGCTTGTTGGAGGGTCTCCTACTCTCCTTTGTAGGCCAATCAGAAGCCTAGAGCTTCTTACCCTTGGCCTAGGTTTTGATGAGAACTGATTGATGAGACTGACCCTGTTTTTACATGGCTTTTTTACTAAATCTGATCTGTACACATAATTCTACTATATATATACCTATTGTGTAGGTAACATGACAGTTAGACCTTAAAAATACAGATGAGTACTTGTCCAAAACATTTCAGCTACTATTAATACAAATTAGTGTTCTTTTGGTTTACTGGGCTATTAACTTTTTTTCTACTGAGAGTTTAATTATCTTTTGCATAAATATTTGGGACATGTATTTATATTATTACTTTAACCCCTCAAGGACCAAACTTCTGGAATAAAAGGGAATCATGACATGTCACACGGCATGTGTCCTTATGGGGTTAAATCATATATAGTTTTGCATTTACATATTTTATAATGTAATTTAGATTTTTCTGTACTCTCAGAGTATGTGCAACTTACCTCTCAGGGTCATCTAAGTTCTGTCCTGTAAATTGATTTTTTAATGTTGGACCATAATTCCATATTACTTCTTCTGCTGCAATGTAATAGTGCCGAACTTTTCCCATTAGTTTACACTTTGGTTTTGTGCAGTTTCTCACTTCGTAAATTGCCTGCATGCCACCTAAGGATAAAAGTAATAATGTATATGTTACAACTCTATGGATAAAGAACATAACTATAATAATATAACTACATTTTAATTTCTCCATCCTTATCGCTAAACTAGGAATACAGCACACCATCATTTTGTAATGTAAAACTGTTAGAGCTTTAAAAAATAAAATAAAAATAACTGAAAAAAGTATCTATCTATCTATCTATCTATCTATCTATCTATCTGCAAAATAAAGGCTATTAAATCATCGCCCAAGATTAAAATCACCAGGTCCTTCAAAAAATTAAATCTTGAATTCTTTCTTAATGACATCAAGAACCTCCCATGGCACAGATTAAACATTATCCCAGATCTAGACTGTGCTGTTGAATTCTTTCAGTCTGAACAAATTTGGAATTTGCATGCCCCGCTGTGTAAGGTGAGAGTAAAAGGAGCACATATGAACTGGATCACAGCTGACCTCATCCAAATGTACCAGTTTCGGGATTCTTTGTGGTCCAAGTTCAAGCGTACTGGCTCTATGAATGATCACTGTGCATATAGACAATGGCGAAATATATGCAAAAAACAAACAAAATTGGCCAAGGCCCAATATTTCTGTGAAAATCTGAACAATAACCTATCAAACCCTAGAAACTTTTGGAAAGTCATAAATATATAACAAATTCCCCCAATCCACTCCCAACCCTCCACTGTCAAGGTGGATAACCAAACTCTGTAACTTCCCTTAGATGTAGCAAATGCCTTTAACAATTATTTTGTCGGATGCTCCACTGCCCTGATTGCCAAGCTAATAAATTGCACGCATCCTGAAACTACAAATGTGGATCAGGCCCAACTAAATTTGCAAAGACCCAATATAGACAAGTTTCATTTTAGATCTGTACCTGTTAGTGTCATTAAAAAACATCTTAATAATCTAAAAATGAAAAACCAGTCTGGACATTATCAAATCCCAGCAATGCTGTTGAAGCTCAGTGCGCCGGCAATTGCCAAACCCGTCGCAACCCTAATTAACGAATCCTTGGTGTCTGGATACATACCCAAACTTTGGAAGACTGCGAGAGTAGTGCCTATACATAAAAGTGGTGACACTACTTTTGTTTCTAACTATCGCCCAATATCATTGCTCCCGGTATTGTCAAAAATCTTAGAAAAATTTGTCCATATGCAACTATGTGAGTATTACCAACAATCAAACTATCTGACACCTTTCAATCGGGCTTTCGCCAGAATCACTCCACTACAACTGCCCTCCTAAAAGTTTGCAATGACATCCAAACTGGCATGGGACAAGGAAACCTAACTGGAGCTATTTTCCTTGATTTTGCCAAGGCCTTTGACACGGTAGACCACGACATTCTATGGCACAAACTCAAAAACTCAGGTATTGGTGATTGTTCGCTAACCTGGTTTTGAGCGTATGTATTGGATCGCTCGCAATATGTGTCCATTTCTGACAGCTGCTCCCTCCCTCTCCCAGTCATGTGTGGTGTTCCCCAAGGTTCCATGCTTGGCCCCCTACTATTTACATTATTGATAAAAGATCTGCCTAATGTCTGCAAATCCTCAAATGTACACATGTACGCAGACGACATAGTGATCTATGTGAGCTAATCCGAGCTACCGCATCTTGAGGCTGTGCTCCAAGACCAGTTTACAGAGGTGGAAAAGTGGATCGCAAAAAACAAACTCTTCCTAAACACTGACAGAACTGTCACAATGATCTTTGGAACAGTGCCTAAATTACACAAATTACACAATTCCCACCTATCCATCGAAACAAATTCAAATGGCATACTGAGCGCAGTCCACTCTTTCAAATACTTGGGTATGCTGTTAGACCCCAATCTATCTTTTGGCCTCTACATAGAAAAACTTGCAATCTAAACTTTATCCAAAACTAGGTGCCCTGTACAGAAACAAATCCTGACTAAGCCCTACAGTAAGGGAGAAGATTGTACAGCAAATGCTGATGCCAATCTTTGATTATGGGGATGTAGTATATGCATCTGCACCGCAATCCCACATTAATAAACACAATACATTGTATACAAAAAAAGAGAGTACTGTATAGTATCCCAAAAGAGAAAGGACCAAATGGTAATGCTTAAATCAATACATTGTATAACTCATTCTGCCGATTTGTGCTACAGTGTAATTACAGGACCCACCATTGTGACATGCTAAAAGAACTAAACTGGCTGTTGCTGGAATCCAGACGCACCCTTCATCTTTCCAGCCTTGTGTTTAAGAGCTTTTCTGGGAAATACCACCCTACCTGAGCAAAATGCTCTCCTCGGCTTTTCCCACCTCCTATAACCTCCAATCCAGTACTAGCACTTTATTTAGTCTACCTCAATACAAAAAGAAAGCGGCCCGACCCTCCTTCTCCTACAGAGCGCCTTCTCCTACCTCCCACACACTTTAAAATCTTCCCCAAGCCTAGAGTCCTTTAAGAGATCCCTCTCTACATACCTCAAAACAGAATGCACATGTCATGATTATATATTTCCTACCTGTTCTATGGTAAATTTTGTATATATTGTGTAATATTGTTTTTGTATATTATTGTACCCTAATGTAACAATGCAATGATTTGTGGACCCAGGACATACTTAAAAACTAGAAAAATCTCAATATATCTTTCCTGGTAAAATATTTTATAAATAAATAAATATCTGATAGATACGAGATAGATCTAGAAACTCTGCTTACTACAAACACTGAGTAAACATGTATAACAATGCATAAAAATAGTATTTTACAAGCCAATCATGTCAGACAGAGGATGATGTCTAGATGAACAATTTCATAAATCAATACTGTACAGATCTGTTGATTGAGAAATTGTATCATGGAAGTATAAGGCCTTGCGTTAGTGAAATGATTTGTTCTTTAGGAGACACATGCATGTGTCATGTTTCTTATTTAAAAACATACTGCATGTGTCATATTTACTTTTACCACCAACACGAGTTAAACATGAAAAATTATACTTATTGATATGAGTTAAATTTTACATACCCGATATAATTTTTTTATAATATAATAACACATTTCTGTTACAATTATTATATTATTTACCAAATCACTTCCTACTAAACAGTACTTCAGCGCTGTTTCCAAGGGCAGTGGGCATATTGTTTTAATCTAATCAACTACAGAAAATAACTACATATTTTTCAGTTTTATTAAATGTAAGTTATTTAGTAAAAGTCTTGGAAAATATATTGCATTTGGAGTTTGAAAATTGCAATGCACTTACCCTACTGATAAACGGTTATATAGTTAAATAAACTTCTTATATCTTGCTTTGAGTGAAATACATTTTGCCGTTTTAGATAGTGATTCGTATAACAATTTTACCCATGGAAGCAGTAACGTTAAAATTAGGTGGGATACCTTCTAAATGATCGTTAACCTGGCAGCTAAGAAGCCATTTTCCAATGTTGTTTGTTAACATTTCTCCCTGGACCATTGTTGCAGGAAACAAACTAATAGTATCTACACGGTAACGCTGTTGGGTTAAAACTTGTCCATGAAAGTACGCAGCATGAATATCTATTTCATTTCCCATGCCAAACAAATACCATTTCACTTGTTTGTTGTTACACATGGACAGCCCAGGGAGATTCCCAAACATGTATCCATTGATGCCTGTAAATATAGAAAAGAAAATAAGGAATTCATTTGATTTAAAGAATATTTGAAAATAACCTAAAACTCCTTTTGACCTTTTTTTTTCATGAGATGCTATGTTTTCTTAGCAAATGAGGAGGAGAAATAGAAACAGTGTTCTATTCCCCCTCATTCCTGTATGCTTACTCCATGTGAACTTCCATGTATAATGGATGGGTGTGAGGTGTGATTGACAGAGAGCTAAAATTAAGTCACCAAGGTACAGGATAAAGAAGTGTCTATTTCTAAATATAATTTTATTTTTCACACCTCACAAATACATATTGCATATCCAGATTAATAAACATTATATTAAAAATCCCTAGAAGTAACAGTTCTCTTTGAAAGATTCATCTAACAGGGTGTTTTGCACTCGCTCCTATCAATGATAAGATGGAACATTAACAAACGGAAAATTAGCTAACGGTTATCCCTGCCTACCGCATTTCTTGGGAGGAAGCATTCAATAACAGTACAGTGTCATAGAGTTTCATGATCGATCATATGATTCTTTTTTTAAAACTTTTTTTATTATCAATTATTAATTTGTAATTTGACAAACTGAATTGTGACCTCTGAGGTTTTAACAGACTATTTCTTTAACTTGTGTCTATTAGTTAGACACAGTACATATTGTGACTCTCAATGGACAACCAGGTACAGCCTTCGTGCATCACTGTCACTAAGCAGAGGAATAGTGATAAGTGCAATGGGTAAAGGAGGCAGGGCAGTCAGGTGTTAGGAATACAAACATGCATTCCTAATAAGTTAATTACTAGATAGTATTTACATATCTACTAAACAGCAATATTTTAGACTACAGGTTTAAAACTAAAAGAACGTGTCCTGGTGCTTTAAGTGGTACTTAAAACTGTCCAAATATGGTTGCTTCCCTTTAACCCCTTAAGGACCAAACTTCTGGAATAAAAGGGAATCATGACATGTCATACATGTCATGTGTCCTTAAGGGGTTAAGGTAAGGCAATGACCAAGAACTGCTCACCTCAAACAAGTTGTTTTGAGGAAGAGTGTCCTTTTAAATAATTTCCATCCTTAGTCCAATGCATGTCTTAATCAAAGAGCACACATTATAAAATACACATTAAAATGTAATCTTACAATGCATTTTATTGCTCTCCTTGAAGTCCTCATCTTCTTTATCAACTGAATCCGGGTCAGTACAAAATGTTTTAATGTTTTCATCCAAATACCAACTCAAATTCTCATCTATTACAGAAAACATTAGGATGAACTCATCAAAGTCTTTTTCATCTGCTTCCTTCATTTGACCTGAAATCAAATAGAGAAAAACATGTGAAGACATGTAAAACACATCATGGTTGAAGGGGATAGATAACCTTATATTCCTGTGGTAATTAGGAAAATGCAAAGATTATATAATATAGTTCTCTGGTCATTAAGTTCTGAGTTTTTCAAGTTTGTTATTGGTGGCAATGCTCATTCAATCATCAGTTTTTCATCATCTTGGGTAGTCAGAACACAGAATCCTGTTGACACATAAAGGGGTTTCCAAGCTGAACTTTGCAAGGTTCTTCAAAAGTCAGTACCATGTCCGATCTTGGACTTTTTCTCCTTTTGGGTCGGTAACTTAGGCCATACATATTTAAACTTTACTGTGGCAAAACAGTCATCAAACTCAGTTTGCTCAGAATAATAATTAGAACTATTCTAAAAGGTAAAGGTCATCTATGCATTTATATAATAATGTAACAATTTTGCATGAATCTAAATATTACACACCAATAAATAAGGTAGCATTCTTGCTATCTATTTATCTATTCTCTTTGTTGTATATATTTATTTGTCCTCATTTGTCAAATTGTGAATTCAGGACATGACTGCACTAGAGCTAAAAAATGTGTAAATCATTTCTGCGTGAAAAGTTCAACTTGGCACTCAATCCATTGAAACAGCACCAAAAACACATTACCTGTTTTGCATACGAGCATAGGCCCAACAAGACCTGAATAGACATCCATTGGTCCATCAACATGTGAATGGTAGACTCTAGTCACACAAGCCTCATTCTCAGCTGTTGGCCCTTGATCTGTCACAGCTTCCCAAGTGTAAGTGAAAGATTCCCCTGGCTTAACAGCAGCACTTTTCTTCAGTGAGTCTGGGTTATTATCTGGGTAGGAGGCACCTGTAGAGAACATTTACATTTTACTTTCACTTGATTTTATAATACAAATTTGAGTTCAGAGAATTCCCCCTCAAAAGCTAAATTTGTTAAAGAGTGCTGAGACCTAAACCCTCAAATTCTGATTAAATGAGCTAATATATTTTTTATCTTAGTTTGTTCTTAAATGGATGAAATGCAAAGCACCCATTCTATGTTTTTCTCTCACCAGGTGGCAGATGACCTACTGCATCTATTTAATTGTTTTTTTTTTACTGCTCTATGTAACTTGGCTTCAATGTCTAATTGATACTTTGGTCTTCGCTTTGACCAAACTGGCTTCTTTCATATACTAGTTAGGTATTGATTTAAACAATTACAAAAATGGTAAAAGCTTCACCTATTTTAATGGTCGTAGTGGTGAAAACACCAATTGTTTGGTTTACCATTCTTAAAACATAATTGAGTGGGCAGGAATGGAAAAATCCATGGATGTGAATAGAATGTATAGTGCAGGTTTTGCTTGAAATCAAATGGCCTGGTGGCCGATGGTTTGAGAGAGAAATCATCTCGTGTTAGTTCTAAATTATGCTGGTATCTACCTACAAACTGACACTCTGTACATGGAAGGGAAGACAGTGATTCTGGCATTAGGCAAAATACAGGAACTTTGGGAGAAATATCTGAAAAGTTTCTAAGTTACATTTCTCTACCAAGTGACTCCAAAATGGGAAGAAGAGTTTGTGGTTGGTGGTGGAGTACCAATTACAAAGTCATACAATCTAATTACATGTATATATTTAGTAAACATAATTTAAATTGATGATCATATTGATTTACCTTCATTCTCCTTTGTGTACTGAACCCCATGTGGGTGCAAACTGTATGTTCTAGAAGCAAAGTTTTTAAGATTGACAATAAGGGTGTCTCCAACCTCTGCCTTTATAATGGGGCCCAGAAATCCCAGCCAGTCTGGCTTCTTCACTTCCACTGTATAGGAGTCATCAGTGTATTGTTGATAAACAGCTTTCTTATAAATTCGGCCAATTCTGTTTGTGTCACGCAATAAAAATGTAGATGCATGTCTGAAATGAAGGAGAGACAGAAATCCTGAATGCAAGAAGAACAAAAACAATTCAGGGTTATTTTATGTTTAAGATGAATAGCAGGTGCATGGGCCATATCACATGATTTTTGAATATAACCAGAGTAGAAACAGTAAGTCTCCAGGAAACACAGCAATTTCAATAGGTGAATGCATAATATTTTAGTTCTACCCTTGTGTTAGAGTTGAGGATTTATGGCCATGGAACTAATAATTACACCTAAATAAAACATTTAAATCAGTTTGTCTGGCCTGACCTCCATCTGAGTTTAGATTTCACAATCAATAAAAAAAAAAAAAATCCACACATACATATTTAAAACTGGAAGCAAGCAATACAAGCCATCTTTAGCAGAAACCTGAGTCACAGAGAAATTCACGAGGAAAGCAAATGGGGTAAGTGGTCACAGCCTGTTCTGGGTTGCATGCAGCAGAAAGTAAACCATTCTGTGCGTCATGGGACACAGAATATCTATATGATATGAGTTTAGAGCAGAGAGCACAAATCTTTATAAGCAAGGGGTCTAGGGCACATTTGGGCCCTCCAGTTGCTACCAAGGACAAACATCAGATAAGGACTAGGGTGTACAGTGACGAAGCTAAATGTGGTTTATGGATAGTGTTTCCTCTGAACTTCAGTCAGGCCTTGGAAGATATGTTTGGCCTTCTAAACAGAAGGTATGAGCAGTGTTTCATAATTGCAGGCCAAAAACAAAAAAAAGTTCCACAGTTTATATTGGAATACATTGTAATCCATAGGCCTGGAGCTTTAGCTCCAATACAGCCTATGTTAATCTGGTTCTTCTCCTACCTTTAAGTAGTGAATAGCAAAAATATGTTTTAATCCAAAGAAATGGAACGTATTGGATAAGCCTACAGCTGGCAAAGGTATTCCTAAATAACACACCTTATTGGATACACATGTGGCAGAAAAAAAGGGAAGAAACATATGTTTCCAATAAAGTTGTATATTTATCTATCAATTTTATTTATTTATCTTTTTGTCTGATGCTTGCTTGCTAATTTCCCTTGTATGAAAACATTATTTGTTTGCGGCATGATTTCTTGAAATTTATCCTTAAACAGGCAAGCTGATATGTTTAAAAAAAGCTGCAGAGGGGAAATATGAGGCTAGCAGGTGTGAGTAGGGATAGAAAGATAATTAAAAAAGTGGACATGAGAGAGGTGAAAGAAGGTTTACCAAAGTAGGTAATTAGAAAATAGGGAAAGATGGAGAGAAAAGGCCAAGAATAGTGAAAAAGCATAAAATCTGATTCTAATTGGGTAAGGTGGCAAGCTATCCTTGAACAGTTTACATGTGAAAAGGACAGTGGAAATGCACAAATTAGGAGGGGAACAGAGAGGATCCAGGATGCAAAGAAAATAAACAAAAAAGGGTAAAAGGACTGTGGAACAAAATAAAAAAAATAGTATGATGGACATAAAAAAGGCACACTCTGTTGGGTCACATATCTCGGAAAATAGAATAACTATTTTGTGCTGTCTTATTTTTTACATCTGGCAAGGACAATAACTATTTTGTATTCTGTAATTTATTCACTCCTTGGGGCGATTCGAATCCTAACATATAACAAAATAATGTGTCCATACTAGCAATGAAGAGCCTCCAAAGGTTCAAACCTTTGAAGGCACTTCATTCCTAGTATGGAAGCAGTGTTTTGTTATGTGTTGGGATTTGAATAGCCCCAAGGGGTGAATAAAATATGTGGATTTTATATTTGTGGCTCTTCCTGTTTGACTTGAATTATTATTACCTGAGAATGATTTTGCCCTTTAGAACTCGAGAACAGTGAGCACTTGAATGGTGCGTTTGGTTCAGACAGAACTACTAAAAGGTGATTTAATTTGCATGCTGACATTTTGTTTAACCTTGGTTTGAAGGTGTTTTTTTTGTTTTGTATTAGTAGTGTCATACAGGGTTATTCACTAAAGTGAAAATTCCATGTGAATTCAAAGTAAATGTAATTTCTTTTTGTCATTCATATTTTATTGAGATGTAAGCATGGTACAAGACATAAGAATGAAGCAGTTTTAGAATATAATAGCAAAATGTGGAGAGTTTGCAACTTTTTCATGTCACCTAGATTTGCTCAGTCGATAAATATGTTACTTCAATCTTTCTTAGTTAAAGGATCACTATAGTGCCAGAAAAACATACTCGCCGGGCTCTGGGGAGGGGAAGGGGTTAAAATCTTACCTTTCTCCAGCGCCGGGCGGGGAGCTTTCCTCCTCCTCTTCTCCTTCCTCGCGACGTCATCGGCTGAATGCGCATGCACGCCAGGAGCCACGCGCGCATTCAGCCAGTTCATAGGAAAGCATTTACAATGCTTTCCTATGGACGCTGGCGTCTTCTCACTGTGATTTTCACAGTGAGAAGCACGCAAGCGCCTCTAGCGGCTGTCAATGAGACAGCCACTAGAGGCTCTAGAGGCTGGATTAACCCTCAGTGTAAACATAGCAGTTTCTCTGAAAGATCTCGAGATTTTACTAATGGAGGATGGGACTATTCAAACTGAACTATTTAGAAAACTGACATCTACTGGGATAGCCACCACCCATACAAATAGAAAGCATCTCACCTACGCAGAGCATAACATATACAGCCACAACAGGCTTCGGGCACAATAACGACCGCCCGGGCAACCTAAAACAATGGATGAAACCACCACCTGAGCGCACAGTCTATGCCCCACACCTACACAAACAGGCTTGGCACAAGCAACACAACACTTACTGACACACAAGATGAGTACCCACCAATACTCCCACACGAAAGGAGAAACTACACTCAAAGACTAGCCTTGTGCCTTAGCGTTGACACCACCATATCTCTCCGGTAGCAACTCCACCTACCTGCTTATCTCTAGCGCCACACCGCTGGATGACAAACAACAAGTCTACTGAAAATTAGCCCAAAGCCACAACATGAACAAAGTCAACTTGATTTGTTAAGCACATACCTGTTAAAAACCCTTGAACCTAATGTAACTGCATGTTTTATCTGAAACGCCTGTGCGCAGGCAATCATAAGCTTTCCATGAAACGAGAATGACTACATGCTTTTACTTGCAACACAAAATAAAAATAAAACATTTAAAACAAATAGAAAGCATCAATCCCATATGGACAATATTTAAGAGCTAGGAGGAACTGCTAGCTCTTAAATATTGTCCATATGGGACAGACTAACAGATTAACTAGTCTGAAATCTACACGTACCCAATTAAATTCTCTGACCCCCAGATGTATAGCCACTTTTGATAGGGGCTGGACAACAATTATACAGTCTCTTTCTAAACACTGGCCCATATTACTGCATAATTCTACACTCAAGCAGTCATTACCTACCTACCCATCTCTTATGGCCCGAAAATCCAAAAACCTAAAAGATCTTTTAGTGCACAGCTATTTGGCACCAATTCTGTCCAAACCCAACGGGCTTACACATACAAAGGGCACGTATAGATGTGACCATTGTAAGGCCTGCAACTATATTACTCATTCTAAATCTACAACATCGACACAATCAAAGATTATGATTACAACCAATGCCCTGGTGAACTGCAGCACTACTCAGGTGATATATTTAATTACGTGCAGCTGTGGGATCCAGTACATTAGGAAGACTTTTTAACAATTTCGCCATAGCATCCTTCAACATGTGGGTTCCATTAAAAATACTCTAACACCGACACCAGTAGCCAGACATATTGCGAACTTTCATCAAGGCAATATGGATAACTTGAGATTCCAAGTAATTGAAAAACTTATACCAAATCCTAAGAAAGGCAACTTCAATCAGCAATTACTTCAAAAAGAATCCCAATGGATTTATTCTTTCAGGACCTTGACCCCACAAGGACTCAATGAGGAGTTTAACTACACTCCATTCATACATTAAAATAGATGGATTTAATTAATTAATCTGCCAGTTTTGTCTCCATATTTTCATATATATTTTTTTGTTTCTACTTGGCATATAGATTTACATCTCATATATACCAATAAATCATCATTAATTTATTTTCTATATCCTATTTATTTAAAAAGTGTAAAGTGCCAAAAGAAAAACAGAGTAAAATAATTGCATCGGCAAAAAGGTAGCTCGACGCGCGTTTCGGCATTTCGATACGCCTTTATCAAGAGCGCTTCGACGCGTTTCGGCGTTTCGATATGCCTTTATCAAGAGCTCTTGATAAAGGCGTATCGAAACGCTAAAATGCGCGTTGAGCTACCTTTTTGCCAATGCAATTATTTTACTCTGTTTTTCTTTTGGCACTTTACACTTTTTTACTTTATTTCTTTTTCTCTATTGGGTCTCTATATGGTGCATTGATTAAATGGGATGATAGGGATAGATTTGAGGCTGCCTTGAAGTAGCAGTTAGTCGAGTTTACCACTGTGTGAGTTAGACAGTTAGTCTAGGGCAATCTAGGACATCTGGTGGTTATACTTGAGGGGTCCTTCATCGGTTTTTACCGAGTAGAAATATCCCCATTTCTCTCTTTTTGCACTGTATGCCCCTGTGGGCATTTATTATGGTTAGAAAGACTGATGTATATAAAGTATTTAACCACAGTACCTATATGTAGGTGGATGTGCTCCTTTACTCTATAGAAGTGAGCATACACTTTTGAATACATCCCCTCTATACATTTGCCTCCACTAGTGACTACAGTCTTTTGCTCCCTTTGGTTCCATAACTGCTACCAGGCACTATACATATCCCTACCATCACAATTTTTTTGGGGGGATTAATGTCAACTTTTTTGACATCTTTACTCTTTTGCCTTATAGAAAGGGCTTCTTTATAGATACACCTATAGGATATTATACATATATAACTTAGAAATATCTATTTCCGATATATTTTTTTCTACGAGTGTTTCATTTTATCTACATACCAGTTGGTGCATTGGTGCACTTACTTTTGGTAATTTTTTACCATTCTTCAAGATTCGACAATCTTTTAATTCCTTAATAAAGGTTTATATCCCCTTTTCTTCCCCCACTTAAAGTTACATTGAAACTAGGAGATATAAAGTTGCGGATGAGTATGAACTCCACTCACTATATGTGAGTGGTTTTCCATCTTTTCCACTTTGCTTGTTTAGATTATATATGTATATATATACACTGCCGTGCTAGAGATAATACTCAGTTGACCCACAGTCACATTTTGCAGGGGGCTTTAGTGTTAGGAAGCTAGTTTAGTGATTTATATCGATAGGTGCCCTCGAAGGCACAGATGAACTCCAATATATTTACCATAGGAATTCTTGGATCCTATCCTTAACATATACTAGCACTAACAGTATTATAAATCTCCAGCATTTGTGCAACTTTGCAAATGCTTTGAGTTTGGAAACAGACCTGTGTAAACTCCTTTGTAACGTTGCATTCTACTGAAAGGCATCTCACAGCATATATCGTCCAGGCAATAGCTATAACTGTTTAAGTGACATGGATGTATTGCTGGGCTTATCCTTTAGATTTTAGTACTATTGCAACAACTGCAAATTAACCTTTTTGTTCTGACTATCTTTACTTATGCTCTTCATGTTGCTACAAGCATCTTGCTACATTATTACAACATCAATTAGTTACTTAGTCTAAATCTATATTTATCATTCTACCATTTGAAACTTTAATTCACATTGAGGACATCCTCTCTCATGCTCTGTGTACATTGAATTCCCTTTTTTTTTAACTTAGGTTTTTGTTAATAATTGTTGTGTATTCTATTAATTGACTTTTCAAAATATTTTTTTTTATATACATCTCAATATTAAAAGTTATATTTTAAGATAAATGTAAACATAGGAAAGTGCTCTTTCCTTTTCTACTTATATTCCTCAACCAGGGTTAACCCCTTCACTGCCCTAAGATTTGTTCTTCATTAGCCAACACTTTTTCTAATATTGCAAAAACATACATAAGTGTATATACGTCTAACTCTATCTTGCACTTGTGGAGTAGTAGAAAACAATGCACAACATGCTCATATCATAGTAGTTGAACAATTACAGGATTATTAACTAAAATGAGAATTGTGAATTCAAAGTGAATTTCAAATTTGAAAGTCAGAGTAGCCGACATAGAAACAAAGCTGGGAAAAAATGTTCCGCTTTTGGCAAACTTGACCTTAAATTTAAAGTTTACTTTGAATTTCCAACTGTTGTGATTTTAGTACATATTACTGTAAATCTTTATTGCTATAGATGATTAGATGACAGATCAGTACATCAACATACTCTTCTCAAGAAAGAACATAATTAAAATTGATACTTACTCATCATCAGCTATAGTGTTACCAGAAATGATGTTCCTCTCAGAAGGAGCATAATCCCAAAGTATTTCCCTAATTGCAATGTAATATGTTCTCTTTTTTGCAGCTATACATCCAAGTCCTAAAAGAAGTAGCAGGCCTATTGGAAAGAGCTTCATCTTCTTCTAGATGACCCAAGTTGGACAATAGAGAACTAGCTCATTTCAACACCTCAGATCCTTTTTATGGCTAGGTTAACTGTGATTAGCAAATTCTTTGACCAGAATTTCATATCAAAGTCCTCTTTAGTGTTTTCCAAAGCAAACACAGGTGTTCCAGTAATCTCATATGTCAGTGTACTATTTGCTGTGTGCTTTGTTTTAACTCTATACGTTATTTTATTGAGATAACAACTGGTTGCCTTCATTCCTATAAGGATAAATACATTGTATATTCTTCTAAACACACACTTCCACTTTCCTTAAAGGAACACTATGCCGTTAGGGATACAATCATGGTATTCCTAATGCTATATCGATCCCCTACCTATGCAGATATCCCTTTCTGAGGCTATAAAAGATGAGCATTACTTACTCTTCTTCCATCATTGTGCTGGTCTTGAAATGGCTGTTCTGCCTCCCTGGCCAAGGTCATCAAGACTGATGTTTATGCATGTTAGTATTTATATAGCACCAACATATCTCGCATTGCATTACAATTATTGAATGGGAATATTTGACAAGTACGTACAGAATATAACAGAGACAAGAGATGTAGAAGACCCTACTCGAATGAGCTTACAAACTATGATCTATGATCTTAGCCAACCCAATCCTTCTCCATAGGGAAGCACTGGTAGGCTAGTGTGCATGCACAGCAGGTTGGAACACTGCACCAATGGAATGCTGTTCTACAAGTAGCATTTGATTGAGAACAGAGTCTAACTCAGTTCTCAAAGGAAAAAGCATCTAGCGTGTGTCAGGAACACAGGTTCTAGATATGTGTTAAACCCCCATTGGAAACATTGCAGTTTCTATAAAACTGCAATGTTTTACATTGCAGAGTGAAAAGTAAAGGGCCACTGCAGCCAGACCACTCCAGTTAAATTAAATGGTCTGGGCACTAGTGGTTATGATCGGATAGAATATGTAAACCAACACATATACTTTTACATAAATTCATATTACATTTGCATGATACATGGTCTACTGCAATAGTTCATATAAACAATGTTATAATTAGATTTTTTTTCAAAGTAAAAGAGTAAACAATTTATAACTATCAACTATAAAGGTTCCCAACTCTGTACTATGCACTAAAGATAACCTAGAGTGCAAATGGTTTGTAATTTGATTTACAGCCAGGCACCAAGATTCAGAATAAAATATGACTTCTAAATCCTACTGTTAGAACCTGAATATATGAAACAAAACAAGCTATCAGTATAAGTGTGTTCTATACTGATCAGCCGCTAGTGATGTACCGAACGGTTCGCAGGCGAACGGTTCCTGGCGAACATAGCATGTTCGCGTTCGCCACGGCGGGCGAACATATGCGCGGTTCGACCCGCCCCCTATTCGTCATCATTGAGTAAACTTTGACCCTGTACCTCACAGTCAGCAGACACATTCCAGCCAATTAGCAGCACAGCCTCCCTAGCAGACCCTCCCACCTCCTGGAAGCATCCATTTTAGATTCATTCTCAAGCTGCATGCTTAGTAAGAGGAGGGAAAGTGTAGCTGCTGTTCATAAGATAGGGAAAAGCATAGCTAGGTTAGGGATAAGGGTATGCTTTTTTTGGATTTTTTCTATGTAATGTAATTGTACACTTAGTTGTCTGCCACTGCTGCCAGCTTCTGTGTCAGGCTCACAGTGCATACTGTGCCCATTTCCCCAGTCAGTGCCACCACTTACATCTGGTGTCACAATAGCTTGGATTTAAAAACAAAAAACTTTTTTCACTGTTATAGATTGAATAGCAGTCAGTTGTCTGCCACTGCTGCCAGCTTCTGTGTCAGGCTTACAGTGCATACTGTGCCCATTTCCCCAGTCAGTGCCACCAAATACATCTGGTGTCACAATAGCTTGGATTTAAAAACAAAAAACTTTTTTCACTGTTATAGATTGAATA